ATTATTAGTAGTAGTAGTAGTAGTAGTAATAAAGAACAAAAATAATAATAACAATTTTAATAATAACCATTTTTATTTTATTTTATCAGTAAAGCTACACGAAATGCAGTGTAAGACCACATTTTTTGCTAGCGTTTATGACAGGGTACTTGAACCGTACTGATGGGGTTATGGGGGTATAAGACAAAAAAAGGTTGAAAAACCCAGGCTTAATGAACAAACAGTTACGTCATTACCTCTGCATGCTTTTAATCTATATATTACCTCATCCTCTTTGGCATAACGCTTGTCCAAAGTAATTTGTCATTCAAAGGTTCAAACCTCCCACCAGTGAAAAGCTCTCCCATCTCCATCCACCCCAGCCTGGTGGATTCTGACCCAGGGTTTCCAACTTCACATTCAAGCCTTCGCCAAACATGGCATACAGTGTGCTTTTCACAGCCTGCCTCTTCAGAATGCTTTTTGGGAATAGCATTGGAGGGCTGGCATTGTTCCAGTGTGGTGTGAAGAGAGGGACTGCCGTCGCTAAGGTCAGGGTTAAGCTGACGGATTCTTCCAGAAAACAGGGGCTCACAGACAGAAGATGTTAATGACCTGAACGATGACTCACCGCTTAGGCATCCATCACAAACATGTCTCAGTCCTGAAACACACATGAATGCAAACACAAACAAAAGAGCACCAGATCTGTGTGGCATTGTTGTACCTGACAACTTTGGTGCGGTTAACTGCTTTGACTGGCAAGAAGGAGATAGCTAAATCTATACATGCAACCATTAAAAATCCAGGCAGTTTCTCAGTATTAATTGGTCAGTTCACCCACAAATGGAAGTTTTACTATGATTTACTCATCCTTATGTAGTTTCAAGCCCTTATGACTTTTTTCAGGTTTAAAAAGTTTTGATGCAAGAACTCTTTTGAGTGATTGCTGGTGAGCTCCTAATATGATGAAAAAATATTGGCCTCTGCAATAGTTCTCAAATCTTATTCACATGTTGCATCAAAACATGTCAATGTCAAGGATGACTAAATGCTCCTGTGTTTATCCTATTTAGAAATACAAATGACATTTGAGAGCTGTGGTGTAGGACAAAGTCTTTTTGAATTTTCGTCTTGTTGATTGATGTATTTTTCTTCGTCCAGTTACATAAACTCACCGACCAATAAGATATAATCTGAAAGGTGCATTGCACCACCTATCGAAATGTCCTTTTCTTTCAGTCTGACGAATGTTATTTCACTTTTGGTTTAATAGTTAATCGATTTTTCATTTCGCTCTTAATTCTGTCTTGACGTCACCGTCGTTCTTGGTCTCACTTATCCAATCTGCATGAAAATGCTCAACTTCATCAAATCCAAATACAACATTATGGGCTATATTTGCTGTTTTTAATTGGCATGTGGGGAAAAATTAACCAAGAATATCTCGAATCTCTCTTAAGCACACCAACTTCTTGTCTGGAGCTTGTTCATTAAATTATTTGATGAAGTTGTCTATTTCTCTTCCTTCTTGCTTTGCCATATTCCTCCAGGTTCAAATGTTCACAATAATTATGATTCAGTCCCATCAGTCAGAGCTCACTTGAGCCACAGCATGACAGGTCATGTAAAAGGAAATTGCTCTATTAATACACTAAACCAATTACCATCAGCTTCATCTCCTTTTCCACATTGAACGGTTTCTTATGTTTCTAATATTTCCTTTGAAGCTTAGTGGGCCATACAAACAAATGGACTATATTTAGAGTTTAGTCAAGATCTGAAACCAATGGGACCTCAAGCTGAGAGATAAAGGTGGTAGCTTTGTGCTTATATCTGAATAATTTGTGAAAGGTGCGTTTGATTGTGCACATGCTCACCTTAAAGGGATAGTTCACCCAAAAATGAAAATTCTGTCATTAATTACTTACCCTCATGTAGTTTCAAACCCGTAAGACCTTCGTTCATCTTCGGAACACAAATTGATATATTTTTGAAGGAATCTGAGAGCTGTTTGACACTCTTAAAAATAAAGGTGCTTCAAAAGTTTCTTCAAGCGATGCCATAGAAGAACCATTTTTGGTTCCACAAAGTAACATTCAGTCAAAGGTTCTTTAAAGAACCATTTCTTTCTTACCTTTTTATAATCTGAAGAACCTTCTTTCGCCCCAAAGAACCTTTTGTGAAACAGAAAATGATTTACTCATCCTTATGTAGTTTCAAGCCCTTATGACTTTTTTCAGGTTTAAAAAGTTTTGATGCAAGAACTCTTTTGAGTGATTGCTGGTGAGCTCCTAATATGATGAAAAAATATTGGCCTCTGCAATAGTTCTCAAATCTTATTCACATGTTGCATCAAAACATGTCAATGTCAAGGATGACTAAATGCTCCTGTGTTTATCCTATTTAGAAATACAAATGACATTTGAGAGCTGTGGTGTAGGACAAAGTCTTTTTGAATTTTCGTCTTGTTGATTGATGTATTTTTCTTCGTCCAGTTACATAAACTCACCGACCAATAAGATATAATCTGAAAGGTGCATTGCACCACCTATCGAAATGTCCTTTTCTTTCAGTCTGACGAATGTTATTTCACTTTTGGTTTAATAGTTAATCGATTTTTCATTTCGCTCTTAATTCTGTCTTGACGTCACCGTCGTTCTTGGTCTCACTTATCCAATCTGCATGAAAATGCTCAACTTCATCAAATCCAAATACAACATTATGGGCTATATTTGCTGTTTTTAATTGGCATGTGGGGAAAAATTAACCAAGAATATCTCGAATCTCTCTTAAGCACACCAACTTCTTGTCTGGAGCTTGTTCATTAAATTATTTGATGAAGTTGTCTATTTCTCTTCCTTCTTGCTTTGCCATATTCCTCCAGGTTCAAATGTTCACAATAATTATGATTCAGTCCCATCAGTCAGAGCTCACTTGAGCCACAGCATGACAGGTCATGTAAAAGGAAATTGCTCTATTAATACACTAAACCAATTACCATCAGCTTCATCTCCTTTTCCACATTGAACGGTTTCTTATGTTTCTAATATTTCCTTTGAAGCTTAGTGGGCCATACAAACAAATGGACTATATTTAGAGTTTAGTCAAGATCTGAAACCAATGGGACCTCAAGCTGAGAGATAAAGGTGGTAGCTTTGTGCTTATATCTGAATAATTTGTGAAAGGTGCGTTTGATTGTGCACATGCTCACCTTAAAGGGATAGTTCACCCAAAAATGAAAATTCTGTCATTAATTACTTACCCTCATGTAGTTTCAAACCCGTAAGACCTTCGTTCATCTTCGGAACACAAATTGATATATTTTTGAAGGAATCTGAGAGCTGTTTGACACTCTTAAAAATAAAGGTGCTTCAAAAGTTTCTTCAAGCGATGCCATAGAAGAACCATTTTTGGTTCCACAAAGTAACATTCAGTCAAAGGTTCTTTAAAGAACCATTTCTTTCTTACCTTTTTATAATCTGAAGAACCTTCTTTCGCCCCAAAGAACCTTTTGTGAAACAGAAACAGAAAGGTTCTTTATGGAACCATTTAGACAAAAAGGTTCTTCTATGGCATCGTGAAGCAGCTTTATTTTTAAGAGTGTAGACAGCAACGCAACTGAAATGTTCCCAGAAAAAAACGACTTTATTCAACATTTCGTCATGCCAGATCTGTTTCCTACGTTGTTGTAGAGCTGTAGTCAAGTCCAGCTTTGTCGAGTCCAAGACAAGTCCAAGACCAGGACTAGTCGAGACCGAGTCGAGACCGAGTCCAAAGAGGTTTGAGTCCAAGTCAAGACCGAGTCCAAATGAGAGAAAAAAAGGATCCTTTTCAAGACCACATACTTAACTATTAATAATGTATGTGATACGAGAGACAGCATATCTCCTATTCTAAGAAAATCATTTTACATTATTATTTGTAATGATCAAAAAGCATGTGCAAAGTAACAACTCTGTAGGACAGGGGTCTCCAAACTAGATCCTGGAGGGCCAATGCCCTGCAGAGTTTAGCTCCAACTGGCCTTAACACACCTATCCTATTATAGCAGACATATCCACTGATTTGCATCGATTTTGCCTTTCTAATAGTCCTGCATGATATGAGGAAATTCTGCTAAGTGTGATAACAGTGGAGTTTTTTTTATTTAAAAATTTTTTTTTGCAATGATGATTACTTATGATAAATAAATGAATAATTAACTGTGCATATTAGGGACAACAAGCTCTCAAGATTCCATCAAAAATATCTTAATTTGTGTTCCGAAGATGAACGAAGGTCTTACGGGTTTGAAACGACATGAGGGTGAGTAATTAATGACAGAATTTTCATTTTTGGGTGAACTAACCCTTTAAGAGAGCAGGATTGCAGTTTTTAAGTGCTGCCTCTATTATTGTTGGCTGGACACACAGCTCTAAGGGGACATAATTGGGCAGAGGAAAATGGAGTGGCTTGCGCTGCTGAAAAAAAAAGAGAAAAACGCCAAGCTTTTTTGCAACTCTAAGCTTTTGAATGTGTGTACTATATATATATATATATATATATATATATATATATATTAAAGAACCCTATTAAAGATAGAAAAAGCAAATCTGTATTATTTCCAATTGGAAAAAATACATACCATTAGCATTTCTTTAAGATTTTTTTATGCAGATTTCCTTTTCTGTAGTATGGATGACCGGATGATTTGCTAGATTTGATTTACTGAATCCCACAATGCAATGTGCTTAAGTTGAAGTTTCTATTTCCACTATGATGCATGAACCAATGTCTGCTGAAACTTTTTTTTTTTTCTTGAAATCTTTCTCACCTTATTATTTGATGGGGCTGTAAAAAGTAATTTCACAGAAGACATTCGCAAAATTAAACATGACTTAAATATGGAACGCAGTGCCTTTCTGTCACAGCAATGTAGCATACTGCTATTTGCATACATTTTTAATTGTATGCAGTACCATAGTATTTTGAACATGCTACTGCTATTGTCATACTGTCAAGTGCATCTGCTCCTGCAGGAGGAGTGTCAAAACTACATCCGGGTGTTGCTTGTCAACAAGACAGAGGTGATCACCTGCGGTACCAATGCCTTCCAGCCCCTTTGCATCACCAGAGAGGTAAGCATATATCAGCTAAATGAGCTGCCTAAACTGGAGCTTTTATCAAAGTGTGTGTGTAATCCATACCGTATCCACCTCTCAGGCAGGGAACATGAGCAGAGTGTTGGAGAGGGTGAACGGAGTGGCCCGCTGCCCCTATGACCCACGTCATAATTCGACGGCTGTGGTGACCGAAAGCGGAGAGCTGTATGCCGCCACGGTCATCGATTTCTCCGGCCGGGACCCTGTCATCTACCGCAGCCTAGGAGGAATGCCGCCTCTGCGGACCGCCCAGTACAACTCCAAATGGCTTAATGGTATATTAATCTCATCATCTCATGTCTGATAGTCTCATATTACAGGGATCGTCTGAAAACTTTTGACATTTCTCTTGATGCCCTTCCTTTTTTCTGTCCTGCTAATATGCAGCCAAATTGCTGAATGTTGTTCTTCAAAAGAAAATGGTTGATTAGACATTTATTTAATTTTGTGTATGCTAATAGCACTCCCCATAGGAAAGAAAAGTTGTTTCCCCTAGACAACATGATTAAATGGAAATCAAACTGTTTTGCTTAAGTCTCCTGCATCTCAAATGTTTTCTTAATGAAAACCCCACAATAATCTCCTTGTATAGATCTAAAAAAAAATATATCACAAAGTCTCTTATCTCAAACGTGTCTAATCAAACATTTCTCATCTCAGCTCTGTTATTTGTGTGTATTGTTTATCTGCATAGTCTCTGTATACACTCTAAAAAATGCTGGGTTAAATACAACCCAGTGCTGGGTAAAATAGGGAGAAACCCAGCAATTTGGCTGTTTTGACCCAGAGGTTGAGTTAAATGTTTAACCCAACCTTCTGGGTAGAAACCCAACCACTGGGTCAAAACAACCCAATTGCTGGGTTTGTTCCTATTTTACCCAGCACTGGGTTGTATTTAACCCAGCATTTTTTAGAGTGTACTCTTACTGTATCGTCTCACTTGTGTCTTTTACACAAACTTTCGGAGAAATATCTGACCAGTGTTATTATCAACTAAAACTAAAGCATAAAAAAATTGTTACTTGAAATAAAATTAAAGTTAACTGAAATAAAAAAGAAAAGAAAAATATGCTAATTTTAATTGTAGCCACTTGCCAAGGCATCATTTCTCATTTTCTTTTAGTTTAACATGAAGTAAGTACTAAAATAAAAATAAATATAAAAATGAATTAAGAACTGTATAGACCTATTCAAAAAGAGCTAATAAAATGACAAATACACCGCTAAATTGCTAACACGTTAACTAAAATTAAGATGAAAACTGAAATTATAAAAATAAAAACTACATTTTAAAATATTAATATTAAAAACTATAATAGTATATCAGTGATACAAAATAATTTATTTTGCAGGTGCTGCAGTGTTCTTTTAGTATCATTGAAATACTAATAAAGTTTTGGTAATATTTTGAGTTTTTATTTTATATATATATATATATATATATTTTGTTTTCACTTTAATTATAAAGTCTTAGAAGTCTTAGTAATTTTGTTGTGTGTTTTTGTTCAAATATGTCTATAAAGTATTTATTTATTTTACGGCAACGTTGAAGTAATTCATTTATTTATTTATTTTTGCCTTTTCAATTAACGTTTTTTATTTAATGTAACTAAATGTTTTTTATGGTTTTAGTTAACTAAAATAACCCTGTTCCTTGTTTGACCCACTGTAAGTGCATACAGTATGACAAGTTCCTATATGATACCTAGCAAAAAGTGAGAAAAGCAAAGCTGCACTCTCACAATTGTATCTTTTGTGTCGAAGGCAGTTTTTTAGAGCAGCCCTGGCCTGTCAAGGTAGGAACCAGTCAAAGATAGAAACAAACGAAACTCAGCACACTTCCTGCACAAAGTCAAAAGGTGTCAATAATCTCCCAGCTGCTGACACTGTGCCTTTTCCCTTAGAAAATTCATCCAATGCCAGTCAAAATGGAATAAGCAGAAAGTTCTGATGCCAGAGCTGTAAGTCATACAGTGAGGAGATGTCAGAGGGTAGTTGAGGTGAAAGGAGAAGGACATAGACAAGGGTTGGAGAGTTAGGATTGGGCGGAGGAGATGAACTTTCAGGCATCCAGCAGTGTAATTATTCCTCATGACCGAGAGAGGGTGAAATTGCAGCTGCAACGCTTCACGTCACTCAGTCGGCCTGTAGTTCCACTGTAGGTTCACACTTGAGGAGAGTGAAAGACAAAAAGAGGGAAGCAAGATTATTGAAGCTTACGCATTTACCTGCGGCAACACATATATTGTCTTATTTAAAGAAAATCAGCACAAGAAAGCTTAAAGTTAGTCTGAATTGCTATTTTACTTCCATATTATGACATATTATGACAAAAGAGAATGTTCAACATGAAAAAAATACTTTTATCCACTGTGAATAAGTTGAATCATGAACAAGCACTATTTGTAGCTAAAGTAGCTTTTTGGGTAATGGATAGCAACATTATTGAGTGGTTTGCTAATAGTTGCACAACTAACATTTCTCTTCAAATATGCTTTTTTACAGTTTAGCCAAAGTAAAACATGAAAGTAAAACTAATTGTGAGGTAGCTAAAAAAGCTCTTGTAGCTAAAGTAGCTATTTGGCTAATGGGTAGTAGGCTAACATTATAGAGTGGTTTGCTAATGGTTGCACAACTGAATAACATTTCTCTTTAAAATATGCCTTTTTACAGTTTAGCCAAACTAAAACATGAAAGTAAAACATGAATTGTGAGTTAGCAAAAAAAAAAAAAAATGCTCTATTTGTAGCTAAAGTAGCTACTTGGCTAATTGGTAGTAACATTATCGAGTGGTTTGCTAATAGTTGCACAACTGAATAACATTTCTCTTCAAATATGCCTTTTTTACAGTTAAGCCAAAGTAAAACATGAAAGTAAAACAAATTGTGAGGTAGCTAAAAAAGCTCTTGTAGCTAAAGTAACTATTTGTCTAATGGGTAGTAACATTATAGAGTGGTTTGCTAATAGTTGCACAACTGAATAACATTTCTCTTCAAATATGCTTTTTTTCAGTTTAGCCGAACTAAAACATGAAAGTAAAACATGAATTGTGAGTTAGCAAAAAAAAAGCTCTATTTGTAGCTAAAGTAGCTATTTGGCTAATGGGTAGTAACATTAGCGAGTGGTTTGCTAATAGTTGCACAACTGAATAACATTTCTCTTCAAATATGCTTTTTTTCAGTTTAGCCGAACTAAAACATGAAAGTGAAACATGAATTGTGAGGTAGCAAAAAAAAAAAAAGAAGCTCTATTTGTAGCTAAAGTAGCTATTTGGCTAATGGGTAGTAACATTATCGAGTGGTTTGCTAATAGCTGCACAACTGAACACCATTTGTCTTGAAAAATAGATTTTTCCAGTTTAGCCAAAGTAAAACCAATTACCTTTTTAATCATGTGTGTTAGCGGAATGTGGACTTGATAGAGATGAAGTGTGAATTAAAAACTTATTTCTCAACTGGGGGTCAGTGAAGAAGGCATGAACCTCAAGGGTCTACAATCGATTCCAACCGGACTGTTATTATATCATTCATGCCAGGTGCTGACTGAATGTTTTTTTTTTTGCCCATGTGGGGTCGTACCCGAAGTGAGATGTGATATTGTTTTAGCACAGCTCTGATTCAATGAGAAATATCATCATTGCCTGCAGCGTGGCTATTAGCACATGCCTCTCTCCTCTGGTGCTTATTGGGACTCGTAATTCACTTCCCAGCTTAGTGTTTTCCCCTGACTGTGGCTCGCAGATAAACACACACACATACAGGGACCCCTGATGGAGTGGCGGTGTGAAAATGAGGCAGTATTTACGTTCAGCATGGAAGAAGGAAAATACCGTTTGTCATGTTCAGTCCCTCACAAATCAGCACACTCACACCCTGCCTGTTTTTAGCTTAGCAAAAAACCTGATGAATTCCTGCAGTCACTGGGAAGTAATTGTTCTAATGTTGAATGGATCTGTATTGGTATTCACTGTGCCTCTCTGACCACTTTCTTCACCTTGATCTGTGTGGAAGTGTAGTTATGATGTCTCATTGAAACTGAAAGCAGAAGAATTGTTTGTTCACAACAATCCTCTGTTAATGCTTCTGGAGAGAGAATTGGATCTTTTTTAAGGGTCACTGCTTACAAAATGTACCATGGTACAGTGAGGTGTTGACATATAACTTCTGTACTGTATTCTATGATAAATATTAGTGTACTAGTGTTTTTTTCCTGGTACCAGATACTTAAAATGCCAACCAAATAAGCATAAGATGTGATGTGCCATTAGCATGATTCCATATCCTTTTTAATGAAAATTAATCATCAGTCATCATTTATTCACGTTTAAAATACAGGGATGGAATCAGATGTTAATACCATGGTATTATATACAGTACTGTTCAAAAGTTTGGGGTCAGTATGTAATGTTATACTGTCTAAGGCTACATTTATTTTATTGATTATACAGTAAAACAGTAATAGTCATTTTAATATGCTGATTTGGCGCTCAAGAAACTTTTCTTCTTATCAATGTTGAAAACAGTTGTGCTGCTTATTATTTTGTGGAAACTGTGATACTCTTTTCAGAATTCTTTGGTGAATAAAAAAAATATTTTTAAATATTTTAAATAATAATTAGTAAAATAATTTTAAGTCTTTATGTCACTTTAATATGAATTCCTTTAAAATAAAATAAAAATAAAATAAAATTGTTTTAAACTTTTGTTGACCCCAAACTTACGCAGTAGTGTAAATTAGTGCACGTTCATATACCACTGTATTTACATGGTGCTTCAATGTACTTTAAAAATGTGTCTAAAAACCATGATACTGCCTTAATACGTCTTTACCATGATACGGGGAGAAAAAAAAAACATGGTAGTGCCATGGTACTTTTATTAGTAACCCAAATTAATTTTCTTCATTTACTCACCATGGTACAGTGATTGGATCAAGCATTAATACCATTATATTTTATATATACCATGGTACAAATTTATATACCAGAGTATTTACATTGCCCACCAAAAACCATGATATGAGCCTGAAATAAAGTATAATTTTGTTTTTTTTGTCAGTGAAGAACAAATACTGTTCTGCCTCTGGTTTCAGATGAAAGCACTGAATATAGCATAAATTCATATGGGCTACGCTGATGTTGTCTTATTGTGATTTTTGGACCAACACATGGTACAGTGCATAAAGTTCCAGTCCAGTTTTGACCATGTAATTCTGTTGCAGTTAGATTTGGCAGATAGAGCAGTATCGTTTGCAGTATGCAAATGCTTCTCTGGGCTGTTTCTGAGTCTGTGTCCTCTGAGATTTGGTATTTATTGTGTTTAAAATTGAATCAAAAGCAGTTATGGCTATTGATGCCTCTCCTGGGCTTCACAGTGTAACAGTAATCTCATTCTCGTAAACTGCTGCGATGGCCCCAGCAGTGATTTTAGTCATGCCTATTTACAGGTGAATATCTGTGGCATGCATTACTGGATGGGCTGGGGAATAAACAGGCCTTGGGGGTAAGACATTATTCAGAGTGTGCGATATTAACTCTTACTAATGCAATCCAGACCAGTGCCACCTGGACCAACCGGACAACTTTTTATATTCCGAATAATTTTTGCATGTCAAATACACACAGATTTCTGCTCCAGTCCTTGGCAGGCATAAGCGGATATTAAGAAAGAGTGAAACAGGGATTCAGGCCAGTTTGCTATGGAAGTAAAGTCGTTGTTTTGGCTTTTAAACCACTTTATGCTGCATTACTGAGAGTCCTGCTATAGACGTACCCATTTGAAATGCTTGTTGTGCCTGTAAGGTGTTTAGCCACGCTTTTTTTCCTTCTCCTTTAGAGCCTCACTTCATCTCGGCTTACGACGTGGGTCTTTTCACCTTCTTCTTCTTGAGGGAAAACGCAGTGGAACACGACTGCGGTAAGACGGTGTACTCGCGGGTGGCGCGGGTGTGTAAGAACGACATAGGGGGCCGCTTCTTGCTAGAAGACACGTGGACCACCTTCACAAAGGCCAGACTCAACTGCTCACGGTCGGGAGAGATCCCCTTCTACTACAATGAACTACAGAGCACCTTCTACCTGCCCGAACAGGATCTCATCTATGGCATCTTCACCACCAACGTGTAAGTCTAGTCATCAAACACAACATCAGCATAATATATATACTGTACACATGTTCTATGCACGTTCTGGGACCTATACAGTAGCTATGCCCTTTGCCCAGCACCTTCATATTTACAAATCAAGCTGCTCATAGCGGTGTAAGAACTTATATCCTGATGGATACATTGGGCCTCATTCATGAAACATGAGCAGAACGATTTTTTGTGTAAATCATTCGGAAAGTCGTTCTGACGTAAATTTTCGGATTCATGAAAATGTTAGTTGGTACTAAAGAAATTTACACCTGCTCCCAACCATGTGTATATGGTGCATAAAACATTCAAATGTTCTGTAATCTTTTAGACAAACTGATGATACTGTGCCGGGTTTCCAAATACAGGCTAATTGAAAGAGAATGCAGTTTAACAAGTGCAAATCAAGCGAAAACAGACTTCCTGTGTGATGAAAACCCACATGAGTTCTAAACTCAAGCCTGTTGAGAAAACAGCCAGATCTAAAAGCAATCTAAAAAGTCAATGGGACTCATTCATAAAACACGAGCAGAACGATTTTTTGTGTAAATCATTCGGAAAGTCGTTCTGACGTAAATTTTCGGATTCATGAAAATGTTAGTTGGTACTAAAGAAATTTACACCTGCTCCCAACCATGTGTATATGGTGCATAAAACATTCAAATGTTCTGTAATCTTTTAGACAAACTGATGATACTGTTTTTTTATGAACTATGTATTAGAATGATATTTAACGAGTTCATTTGTCCTGTCTTTTTTTTGTTTTTTACTCTTTAACTTTGGATAAAACGCAGAGCTCATCACTGTCCCTTTTTAGACAGCCGTCCAATCTCAGTGGAGGAGGGGCGGGACAAACATTACATTGACCAACCATGATCATACTTGTACAACACAACAATGGAGAAGTTAATATGGCTGGTTAATGCATTTTTATATTCAGTAATATTCTTCAAAATAAGATGCTCGTAATCATAGCAAACAATGCGTCACTCCAGAAAAATGCAGTGCCTCCAAAGCTCTCTCAAGCACCTTCAAGCTCAAGCTCTTTCAGAAGCTCAAGCTCTTTCAGAAGAGCACCAGGCATTATGTCAGCTGGCTAAAAACGCTCTGGTCTGACACACGTTAATTTATTCATTTATTGTTAGGCATATAGCCTATTAGTCTCTTATGCATTTATGCTATATAACTTACCAAACCTGAGAATTGAGTCCAAGGATTCCACACCATTCCTAGATATTCCTAGAATTTGCGTAGCTGTAATTCATAGGCGGGGAATATGCTAATTGTGAATGAGTGTGGCCTTTATTCACCCCCCGGAGCCGTGTGAGACCCTTTTTTTTATGGATGGGCGCTTTTTATTTAACTTCCTTTGGACTGATGCATGCTAGACCCGCTGAGTGCCATGAAACAAGACAATTTTTAATATAACTCCGACTGGATTCGTCTGAAAGAAGAAAGTCATATACACCTAGGATGACTTGAGGGTGAGTGATTTGTGGGCTAATTTTCATTTTTGGGTGAACTAACCCTTTAAGTCTGTTTCAGTGTGTTCATGAAATGTGAGAAGGCCTTAGAGAGGAGTACAGGAATATGCTGCATCCATCCACCTCTGTTACAACTTAGAACAAGAAAATAAATAAGCGCTAGATTAACAAGTATATTTTTGGCCTTAATTGCAAGTCAATTTGCTAACAAAGTATAGCAGATTAATATGAATCTAATAACATTATGAATTATGTTATTCCTGTGTTAGCTGTCACAGACCTTTCCTAATAGATCTTTTTAATGAAATCTTCATTCTTCCTGACCATCACCAAGTGCTTCTTTCGCGGTATATTCATATCTTGCTACATGCTGTTTACTACATATTATTTAATGTAGCAGTTGATTCATCTTGCAGTATGCAATAAAATCACTTCTACCCAACTTGGTAGTGCAACACCTCTTGGAGATTCTGTCCTATAGGATGAATCACTTATGCATTACATTCGATTAAATAAATGGAAAGCAACATTTTTGTTGAGATATTCCAGAAAATAATCAGTATGTCCGCTAGTGGTGGACCAACATTTTTTATCTATCACTTTTTATCACTACTTGACAGTATGCATACTACAAACAACATTTCAAATAGCAAGTAGTATGGCAGTATATAAATCTGAATACTCACCTTCTCTTGCTCTCCTTCCCTATATTTCTCCCTATCTCTCTCTCGTTCTCACTCATTTTATCTCTGTTTCTTTTTTGTGTTTTTTCCTGTCCCCTTTCACTCACTGCCCCAGTAGGAACGGAATATGGTAATGCAATCAGAACAACAGAGTCTCCATCTGTCTGTGGTAAATTGAACACCTTAAGCAATGCTCCCTGGGGTTTGGGGCTGCAAAACAGGGAGGGTGGGCATGGGAGGAGCGGAGTGAAAATGCCAAAAATGCCTGAAAGTGTTGGTAGTAGTTTGTCCCGAGGTATTGGCAGCGTGAGTGCATACTTTCATTGAGCTGAAGGTGTCAAAGCAGTATATGTCCTCATACTGAGCTTACAGACAGTATCAGCTATATTAGATGTATTGTAAAAAGCAACTTAAGTAATGTAATATATATATATATATATATTTGTATTTTTAAGGATATTACATACAGACATTTTCTTTTCCTTTCTGTGTTGGATACATGGATATATAATCTTTTCAGTGTTTGGCATGGGCTCCTTGGATGTTTTATGATTATTATTATTCATAAATTTAACTTGAACATTGGAATGTTTCATTAAATTGCTGTTTCTGCATTGTATAAAAGCAATAAGTCATGAGAGGTTGCACTTTGCAGAGGTTACCTCATTTTTGTAAATTGGTTTTCTGCAATAGCTAAAATCATTGTTTTTCTTTCTTTTATTGCTTTTATAAAACTTACTAGTTTATAGCTAGTTATACTAGCTAGCTATACTAATATTTTCATATACTAGCTAGTTTCATGTTTCACATATCACTCTGCTGTCTTTTTATCTTATTTAAGTTAAATGTAGGATTAATTTATTAGCTCTCGGTGACCCTTTCTAGGTTTATTTTGCAATATAATTGGACATTTTCCCCTTATTCATACATTTTGGTATGATGAAGAAGGAAATGTTTAAACACATTTCAAATAATTTTGATGTGGTTTCTTTTTTTATTTTCTACCTTTTTAGTTAACTTTTTGAAGGAACAGCTATCATCCTCATTTCTGTCAATCACCTGCAGGTTAACTGGGTGGAACAGACCTTTTGGCAGTTAATATGATGACAGACAACCCCTCTGGAAAACAGATCTGTGGGTGTGAATGAATACGTCTATCATGAATACACACACTTTCATGCCTGAATTACAACAAATACAGAATAACAGCCAAGTGCATCTCTTCACTCGCTGTGATGCAGCATGACAAAATCCACCTTGAAATTAGTTTTTTGTACCCCATAGCAGGAATCTTCGCTTCGAGTTTATTCCATGCATATTTCTTTCATGTAGATGTATGGAGTTGATGGTATTAAGGGTTTCTGCTTTCTGTTGTTTTTCATCAGTCTGTTATAATACATCATTGTAAAATCGGAACACCAAACAGCATACTTTAAATATAAATGTTGTATAATATACTTACATTTAAATATTTAACATAATATAAATATTTAATAATAATATTTAATATAAATATTGCATTTAAATGTAAAAGTGCTATAGAATATGCTGAAGAAGTTTACAGAAGTTTTTCAGCACTTACTAAATTTGCAATATTGGCAGTAAAGTTGTTATGTATTGTTCAAAAATAATAAATTATGTACACGCAGATGAACTATGATATGATTTTAATAATTACGGTAGTACTGTTTGTAAACAAATGCTTGAGTGCACGTTTTTCCACAAGGGCAGATATTGTTATGCTGTAAAAATATTTATTAATAATCTTGCCTCAGTCCTGGCTGTGGAAGGTTGCTGAGTTGGCTCTGTTTTTTTTGCTGCGATGCAGGTATTCACTGAAGTTGAAACACTGAAGTAATGTATTTTTTTACTCCCCTTTTTCCCCTTGAGTGCTGTCCTACTTTATGTCTAAATCAACTTTATGGACCTCTCGGATGACCTCAAATGACCCTGTGCTTTTTTGACATATTGTCTATTCTGTCATCATAACTCAACATGACTTCATCTAAATAAGCATGTGATCTACTGTACGTGTCGCTTGGAAAGCTCCGAAGTCATCTGCTCTCACAGTGAGAAGACTTCATTCCCATATGTTGCGTGTTATACTGAGCATGTCATGGGATTTGCTAGAGTAGGTGACTTTCCAAAGGGTTATAGGACCAAACTCTGTACTTTACTTTTACTTTACTTTGTACTTTTTACACACCTCAACAGCCTTTAAAACTGCACCATCATCTGTCTGAAAGTCACATCTGCACAAGCATAAATGCAATAAACGCCACCGTTACTTAGCTGAGGTATGCATCATTTGACCAGACAGTGCATTTATGCATTTTTATGTATGTATGTATACTATAAACCTTGCTTAAACATGCATACGCTGCACTCGCTGTTGTACTCAAGTTAATTTTTTGCTCCTCATTTTAGTGAGATTTTGACTAGTACTTATAGACTATGTTTGCACATTGATAACATACAGTTGAGGTCAGAATTATTACCCCCCTTGGTGCACATGAGCAAAGAAGGTTAAATCTGCATTGTATATCCTTTCCTTCAAAATAAATCACAAAAATCTAACTCTTCCATACAGAATCTCTCCAGATCCTTCAAATTCCCGGTCCGTGACTCACCTCTTCAGTTCACGCCACTTATAGGGTTCAGGTCAGGAGACTGAGATGGCCATGGGAGAACCTTAATTTTGTGCTCAGTTATCCATTTTTGTGTTGATTTTGATGTTTGTTTTGGATCATTGTCCTGATGGAAGATCCAGCTACTGCACATTACAAGATTTATAGCAGAGGCAGTCAGGTTTTGATTTTTTTGATCTGTTGGTATTTGATAAAATCCACAATGCCATGTATCTGAACAAGATGTCCAGGACCTCCGGCAGAAAAACAGGCTCACAATATTAAAGATCCAGCAGTATATTTAACCATGGGTATGGGGTACTTTTTTATCCCTGTGTATCCCCTTAAAACCCATCTCATGTGTGCCAAAAAGCTCAAGATTTTTTTTTTCTTGAAACCCTCCCAAACAACTTTATTTTTTAATTTAATTTAATTTAATTTAATTTTGTTTTATTTTATTTTACAAAGACAATTTTCCAACTGTGATATTTCTTAATTATTGCCCTGATGGTGAAAATGGTGAATACAACCACATTTTGTGAAGCTCAACAATCTTCTGCTGCACACCAGAACTACAGTATATTCTTTGGTTTTACTTATTGCTATGAATGATTAAGGAAAGTTGGCCTTTGTGTTCCCTCCCATTTATATTCCTACAAAAATAAATTTATACTCCAGGGAGTCATGGCTGGACAATTTTATGTTCATAGTTACCTTAGTATGCTAAAAAAAAATGTGAACATGAATGGGAATATGCTTCATAGATATTTTATTCATAAGAATTTCTAGGGGTGCTAATAATTGTGGCCAATGTGTATTGGAGAAAAATATTTGTCTCATAATGTGACTGACTAATGTCCACCTTACTAAAGTCACAAGTGTTTCGCAAAATTCAGAACTGAAGCAGATTTGGCTCACTTTCAATTATGGATTTTACTATGAATTTGAATTGAATTGGTCACATCTCACAAGAAGCTGAATTGTACTTTGAATTGAAATGACAGGTGTAGTTGTCTCTATTCTAAAGGAATTAGAGTGATAATTAAAACGTTATTGTTATTCTTACAGTTATCGTCCTTGGTGCGAACTAGTCTTACAGTGACTGAATAAGAAAGAGTAAGCAACTGGATCCTTGGAAGATTGCACTATATGATGTGGAAGACAACTAGCCGGTTTGAGTCCTGAAATTCTGGTTGTAGAATGTGGTGTCACTTTTATATATAATCAAGCTGTGCGTAAATGTACCTGTATTTAGAAGTCTAAAACAAGACTGGCAACTGTATTCTGCTGCCTATATAGGCAGTCAGCGGGGAAGCAGCTCACTAGAGAGGTAAAATCTCAAAAAACAAACTCTTAGTTTCTCAAAACAAAGTTTCAGAGTCTTGCTTTTGAATGCTAGAGTGAAAGAGGAGAAATAGCTTGAGATAATTGGCTGTCCTGTCAGAGCCTGCTCTGTCCTCGCATCCTAGGGCTGACCGGTTTATAGCCCATGTTTCATCTGCGCATCAGCTTTTTGAGCTGCACTGCCAAGAGCCTCTCATTTTACCAAGCTAACTTTCTACGTCAAACTCCTCACATGTAGTCCCCAGGGTCGAACAGCAGAACCAGGGTTGAATCTTCATCAAGTCCATGCCTCACCAGGCCACATAACAAGAGCCCGAGCCAGACACCAGCGTCTGGCAGGTCAAGTCCCCCTCCTGGAGCTCTGCCTGTGGGCCCATCTGTCTGTGGCTTCAGTGTTACCACCACAATTATTGCTGTTCATTTATGTGCGGTCTCAACAGCACACAACAATGAATCTGATAACAAGAATAACTTCCCCTTTTCAGTGATCCTCTTAGTTAACCTTTTTTTTTTTTTGCATGAGTGTATCATTTTTTTGATAGTCCTGCTGTGACTATAATAGCTCTGGTCTCTAAGGGCTTCTGGCATCCCTCTAAACTCTGGGCATATTGAAAGCTCAGGGGACATTTTTCAGGGTAACAAGACAAAACTCTGTCCTTTCTTTGTCACTGCAACAGCTTCTGAAACTGCACTGTCATCTGTACAAAATTCAGTGTGAGTCTGGTAATAAGAATAACCACCCAATCCATTCACTGCAGAGCTCATCTCTGCTCCTGACAGCTTACTTGGGTCTCTGGGCCACCTGTCACTCAAATCAATGGAGTTAATTAAGTCACATTTGAGAATGTTTCATGCCAGAAGAAGCTGACAAGATCTGCCTGGCTGAACCGATTATGAACTTTTATGTTTGTCTCAAGATTATAGATTTGTATAACTGTCTGTGCAGCCTTGAGGCCATGAAGTGTAAAGGTCTAACAACTGTATGCTGTGTGTAGGAAAATACAGACCATCATATTATTTTATAGATCAACAATTCTTTTTATGATGGTACTGATACTTTTGTTCGTAACCATTATTCAGAACGGATTTTTAATGGTTCCTTTTTGCTTTTTGACAAAATAAATGTTAGGATATAGAACAAAAACTATTTATAAAATATATAAAAACTAGTATTTATAATTTCGATAAACATAGTACTAAATTGTAATCATCTTTCTTTCTTGTGATCCAGGAACAGCATTGCTGCCTCTGCAGTTTGCGCGTACAACCTCAGCGCAATCACGCAGGCTTTCAATGGGCCCTTCCGCTCCCAGGAGAACCCTCGCTCCACGTGGCTGCCCACCTCGAACCCCATCCCTAACTTTCAGGTGCATCATTCCCCCTGAATGTCTTTTACATTTTGTTCTCTGTGTGTGTGTCTGAAACAAACAGCCAATAGATAAATTCTATCAGCCTGGCACTGTGAGAGTAATTGCTCAATACCAGCTGGGTGTACCTGCATGCATCGTAATTCACAGTTATTGTCTACTTTCCTATAAAATGACATGGTGAGAAGTTTGAAAGTTTTTTTGTGAGTTTATATTTGCACTGCCCTGCTTGATCTCTACACTAGCTAATGAGTCTAACCCTAATGACACTTACCAGTGTGGGACCATAGAGGAAGAAGGGCCTAATGAAGGACTGACTGAACGCAGTCTGCAGGACGCTCAGCGGCTCTACCTCATGAATGACGTGGTTCAGCCTGTTTCTGTGGACCCGCTGGTTTGGCAGGATGATGTGCGGTTCTCTAAGTTGGTTGTTGACATTGTACAGGGGCAGGATACTTTGCACCACGTCATGTACATAGGCACAGGTAACTAGTCAAAGTCAAACTTAATCACTTCAGTTTTGTATTTTTCTTTTGCACAGAAACCTTTTAAATCACATGTCTGCAAAAAGTTTTCCATTAAATCCTTATATAAATAGTATTAGTTAGCATTAGTTATGCAGCCTTGTGTAATTATGCTTTGCCTTCTGTTCTGACTTATCAGAGTATGGAACTATTCTTAAGGCCCTGGCAACCACTAATAAGAGCCTGCAAGGTTGCTACTTGGAGGAGATGCAACTCTTCCCTCCTGCTCTGCGGGAGCCAATCCTGAGTCTTCAGATTCTCCATGGCGACAGGACTCTTTTTGTGGGCCTGAATGACAAAGTGCTGAAGATCCCTCTGGCGAGGTGCTCCAGCTTCAAAACAGAACTGTGAGTGCCATGTTTCATCTGTATGTTTTGTGCTGCAAATAGCTTTAATGGGGTTATGAACTGCCTTTTTTATTATTTTGTACTGTTCTCTGAGAACCCCTTATAATGTTATCAAGATTTGTACATAAAAAACATCATAATTTAGAAGTAATAGGCTATTTTCTGTCATGTTTTTAACCCCCCTCATCAGAACGCTCTGTTTGAATAGGCGTGGCGGATTGTAGACACAGAAGTAAACGCCACTGCTATGATTGGCTAACACTTATGTGTATGTTTGACAGCTTACTGCCTTCACAGATGGACGCTGCTGTGATTTAGGTTTAAAATGCATAAATACGCAGTACATATCAAACGATCTGTAATAACAGATCCAATATATTCGGCACAGCATCGTCTTTTAGTTTCATTCTTTCTGAAAATCCAGCGTTTAATTGTGCCTTGTTTGTGAACGAATCCACAGTAAAGTGAACAAAGGACCAAGTTCTTAACTGATGCGGTCTGTAACTTCATTAAAAATAAAGTTCATCCACTCTTTCCTAATGTTGGGATCAGAAGGAAGGCAATGCAAAGACTGTTTTTCCACAAATTGACACTGCACAGAGTCTTGTTGTCTTCAGAGCCATCTTTATCATTGGATTTCTGCGTAGACCTGTCTTTGCCTCTCTCATTATTTACACTACATGCGCGAATCAGTGGACAGGGCTAAGCAGGCAGTGCTGTGGAAGCAGACATTGATCAGGCATGGAGGTGGTGTTTAGCCACACTATTACGTGATAAAGTGGCACATTTCACAACATGTTGTTTTTGCAGATTAGCTTCAATTTAAGCTGTTTTTAGACTAACGAGAAAGTTTTGAGTTCTGAAACTTCTGGGAAGTTTTTATAGTACAATGACCTCTTAGATGTCAAAAGATCAAGGGAATTTTGATTTCTCAGTTCATGACCCCTTTAACAATCAAGGACTTCATTCATTCACCTGACATATGCAGGCAATAGGTTGGAAAGTGTGAAACTACCTATTTTCAAAATGGACTGGTTGCTGATTTGTCCGATTAATTAGCCTTAAAGATGATTTGAATATTTATTCTGGTTTTAGGTTCATTGATGACCTGATTAGATGCATTTTTTAGGGGACGCTGACATAAGGTGTGCTCTTGGGTTCAAAAACAGCTAAACAGCGACAGAATGGAACAGATTGCAGGGGTTTTGAAGGTTTTGATTATTTTTAACCTGACATGCTGTCTTGAAGACACAACGCTCATGGTGGAACACATTGCCCAAATACATAGGTCTGAATGCATTTAAATGGATGAATTTGATCATGCAAGTATTAAGTATGCATGTATTTGGCAAAGCACATGATTTAAAAAAAATAAAAAATTTATTTAATTGTAAATTATTAAATCAAATGATTATTAATATCAATTTAATTTTAATATTATTAATAATATGAATATTAAAATGTGTGTGTATACCAAGATAAACCAGTCAACTTCACTAGTCAATCATTATGACCCTTTCTTAGTATTTAGACAACTTGATGCGTGCATTTTGGGCCTTTTAGATTTCAGGGACAATGCATGCTTTCTCATTAGACTGTAGGTGTTGGGTGACAGCAGACCCAGGTTGATGTACATGAATGGCTCCTTTCACGTTGGTAAGAACTCTTGTTACCCACCTCTGTGGAATTATACCCTTGATCTATCATTGGAAAAGAAATTCCTCCTCATGGATGACTGAAGCATCCGTTTGACAGCCCGCGTGTATTCTATCAAAGCTTTCCATCAACTTCCCACCCCGAATGCAGAGTGGGACAACAGTCAGGCTCAATTTGCCAGAGGAGCACATATAGAGCTCTGTCCGTTCTCTCTGCGCACCGTGCATGAAGGTGAAAGATCGAGTGTAGGTTTGGATGAATGAAGGAGAGATAAAGGAAGCTAGGAGGGTTCAAAGGAAAGAGGAAGGGTGCCGTCTTGAGTGAATGGTTTTCTGTGAGGGTAAACATATTTAACTGCGAGCTGGTGATTAGTCAGCACTTTGATTTCACTTCTCAATATGTGTGCACACACTCTCTCATACACAGAAACACACACAAGGCTATGTGGTGAAGGCTGAGGGTGTTGAATACTAAGCAAGGTATAGGTGAGATGTGTGAGATGGAGCGGAAGCGAACTTTGCTAGCTCTATTTAAAACCCAGCAGGGAGGAACAATCACATTGGGTTCCAAGGGCAGGCCAGAGAAGAGAGTCCTTAATCCGTAATTTCCCTTTGATTTCTGCCACATCCTGAGCACATTCACCTTTGAACACAATACAGCAGCGCAGCTTTGACATTTCATTAATGCTGTACACTTATATGAAACGTCATAGAGGTGTGACATGGCTGCATATGAGCTGCGGTCAAGAGGTTTTTATTCATTTCCTGCTATACCAGTCAGCTTCCTCTTCTTGAGCTTTGACTGAAACGAATAATCCATTCATCCATGTTATGGAGGATAAGGTGGATAGCTGCTTCTAGAGACTGTGTCGATTATATTATGGAGTGTTGAATGTCAAGTCATATTTATTTGTATAGCACTTTTCACCAAACACATTGATTCAAAGTATCTTTACAAAGTCATACTGGTATGTTTACAATGCCGTAATGTTTTAATACAGAGGAAGTTTTTGCTGGGCCATATAGCGATTATATATCAATGATATAAAGTCCTCTGGATTTAGATCTAGCTAAGACATTTAGCAGATTTAACTATCCGTAAGATATATTTAAAGTGTATTTCAAAAACAACCCAACACATTTAGCATAGAATAGCCATTTTTTTATATTTATTTAAAATTGTATTCAATATAACAGCACAATGTTGCTATATTTAAAAATATGATAAAAATTGCATATAAGATCCCAGTTGTACCAGTTTTATTTATCCCTAAATTTGACCACATTTTTTTACCATAATTACAAATAAATAAATAATATTTTAGCTTATAACAGATCAGTGCGACCAGAATGATCAAAAAACCTAACCCTAACCCTAACCCTAACTTTTTTTTTTTAATATAGCAAATATACCATACCAACATTTTATGCATTAGTTGTACATGAAAAATAAACCTTTGGCCATTATTTCTTTCTTTCATGGAGCACAAAATGACCACATGAGTAAAATGAACCAGGCTAACCAGGTTAGTGTCTTTTTTTGTAATAAGCAACCACTAGTCTTCGTAATTTCTCCTTTTGTTTTCCTCAGAAGAAAGAGATTCTTCTTTTAGCTTTTTCAGAACCTAGAGCTGTTGCAGAAACATGTCATAATGACTCTCTGATATCTGTCAGGTAGTGGCAACAGTTTATGTCTAATAATGCCTTATACTTTAAATGTAAATCTGATTTTTTTTTTGTTAAATCTGAAATTTTATATTGACATCCCATATTGTAGCACCAGACACATTGTTGTTTAGCAAGTCGTTTTTGGACCAAAGCAATCTAAAGAAGGTTTCTGTAGGTCAAATGCAAATAAGGCATGTAAGATTGCATCAGTGATGTGAGAGACAAATTCTGTGTTGCCCTTGTTGCAAGGAAACAAATCAAATCAATGCAAACAAAACGGACAAAAAAGAATAGCAGGCTTTCAAAATATAATGGCTCGTCGTATAATTACTTTAATATCATTCTGCTTCTGTTCACAGTTGCTGCCCTTGTGCCGCTGTTTTCCTTTACAGATGAAAAGAGACTAAGAGAACGCTCCCGAAGCCTTGCTGGTCTTGCCTTTGGAGAAGTGTTTATTAATGACTTAATCTACATTGTTGGTGGCTCTGGCTTGAAAGCAGTGCGATAATTAAGTTTGATCCCTCCAAACTCACTCTTCTGCTCATGTTCATGGGCCTTAGACTCTCGCCTCTGATTTGCAAAACTAATTTACTCTGATCAGCCAGCTGATTGTTTGATGGGATCTAAAGGGACCAACCGGCTGGGCCAGATCGATAATCTTAAAGACTGCGATTCCTAATTAAGGACGAAACAAATGTGGAAGCTGATGGGCTGGATTCTTAGCGAGACTTCCAGTGACGGCAAAACGCTGAGCATTGGTGGTGTGGGTGGGATAAAGGTACTTCTGATATTCACCATTTATGCATATATGGAAATGGACCTTATAGTAAGGATGTGAAAACAGCATATTTTCAAAAAACGACTGCTTGACTATTTGGTCTTATAGGAAAGTACTGAATAATCAGACTGTCTTTGGGTTCACTTGTCCCTGATTCAGCCAACAACATACAGTCTTCCAAATGTTTTCCAATGAACAAAGAAGTACAAAAAAAATAGTTGTGAAAAGACAACATGACCTGGGATCATGACAACTTCTTAGAGCTTAATTTTCATCAAATTAATTATGGCGTCTACCCTGACTTAGGTCTGTTATTGATGAAGTATTTTACATTCAACAGCCTAATTAGAGACAGCAGCGCAGTTAGTGCTGACAGTTTTGATGATGTGTAGATGATGAGATGATGAAGTCTTGGAGCGCTGTTAGGAATGTGGGTTTGAGGTTACAAATATCTATAGCAAACAGAGCATATAGCAAATAACCCAAACCACAAGCTTTACTTAGAAAACCACAAATATGTTTTTACAGCTTTCCTTTCCTGCTACTTCTGATGTGATGTGGCAAACCCATGTTTCCATGTCTACAGAGATGATTGGTCACTATTTAGGACGTAATTTTGGATGATGACATCCATTTATGGGGGATTTTTGCTGTAGCTGTCATGTTGCAGTTTTTAGACCTCTCTTGCTTTATGGATGGTGGGGTGTAGAGCTGGATCTAAATGTTTTTTTTTTTCTTCTATTTTTAAGCCTTGTGACTATATTTAATGTATTTTAATTGTTTTATTTTTGCGTATGCTATGAAGCTACTTGAAGGGTAATTTTCAGTTCAGTTCAGTTCATCAGAACTGTTGTAGTCAAGTACATTTAAATTGTTTAATGTAAAAACTAAAACAGTAAAAATCTATTAAAAAAAATTACAAATAGAAAATAGTTATTTTAAGTTGCAATACTATTTCACAATATTAATGATTTACTGTATTTTTATCAAATTAATGCAACCTTGGTAAATATGAGACTTTCAAAAACATTTAAAAAAACTTACCGACCACAAACTTTTGAATGGTAGTGTATATAGACCAATATAACATAATAATAAACAGGAATATTGAATGACTCACAAGTCAAAGAAGCATTGTGAAACTAATCTAATGACAGTCTTAGATCTCACGATTTAAAGACAATTATTGATTTGATCTTCGCAGGGAAGGAATTGTGATCCATCACTATTGTGTGCTTAACCTTAGGTTGCACCAGCATAATTGTCTCTGCAGTAATGCTGCATTCATGTTGTGTTAAAATTAACGCAATTATGAGCTGACAACCTGAGATTTTATTCTGAGCACATCCTCAAATTATTTGTTTCCATGGTAACCCTCATAACGCCAAAAAGGTTCCATATGTGGTTGTTTATGACAGCAAAATATTTAATCACTACATTAATTCACCTTTTTAAAATAAGAACTAAGAAAGTGCAGCAGGCTGTAAAAGAGAGAAATATATATAGATGTAGCTTACTACATTTAATTGTTGAAGAAGTTTTCATGCAGTTTCCAACTTTTAAGTGCGACTTTGAATGTTTTTTTCCCAATCAAAAACTCATAATTACTGTAATTTAAACAGCACAAATTTACTGTGCCTTGCTATGGGGACATCATCAAATTCCATGGTCATGTGGCTTCCTGAAGGCACTTTGTCCTTTACCTGTGGCTAAGCCTTATAGCCAGCCTGTAAGAAATTCTAATTTCAGAGGCCCCATCTAACCCAAACAATTTACAGCTCCTGTTGCCGCCAGCTTGTCAACAGGGTGCTAAAAAAAACACCGGGTTTGAGAGCTCGCAGCTTGTTTGAGCACGCTGCCCAGCACTTGAGCAATTGGAGGAGCTGCAGAGAGAGGAAAGGCAGGGAAAGAAAGTAATCAGAAGGTGAGAGCATTTATTACCACTGGCTTTTAACTGACTCTCCACTGGCTGAGTCCCAAAATTGAGGCCATTTTTCTCATGCGCTTTCTCCCATTCTTGATTAAGACAGGCAATATGTCTCAAACCCCGCTGTCCTGAACTTCTGACAAATAGCATCTTTTCTTCTTCTCCTGAGATGATGCCATTAAAGCATCTGACCATCTTATCTTTGTCTGCCCTAAGCTGTCAGTGATTGGTGTGTGTGGAAATCTCTCAAGCTGAAATTTATGGGAACTGTTTGGCTCTGGTCGGTTTCCTAAAAAAACAAAATATTAAAGGGGGGGGGGGGGAGTCATATGTAGAACATCTATTGTTTTTTTCTAATTTGAGAGAATTTTTATCTACTATTTCACTGGAATGCATTAATAGTTCTGTATCTAACATGCAGAGAATTTAATTGATAAACGTAGTTTTTTTATATACAAAAAATGTGTGTGACAAAACTTGGTTAGCTAGAAAACCTGAAGCTGGTTTTATTGATTCTGAGCACAGTGCATCAATAAAAAATAAAACCTCGGCCCTTGTTTACAACAAAAAGGTCATGAATTGCTATTAAAAGGATAGCAATAACTATTTGCCTTTGTTCATCTTTTTTAAAGGCCTATAAAATAGACAGTATTTTTTACAGCCCTCCCAATGACTTTAAAATGTCTATTAAACCAACAAGGAGAAATAAAGATTGATCGTCTTCTGTCCACTGTCTTGCCACATTGTTTTATGTGTTACTTAATTTTTTGCACTATTTAAATTTTTACAAGCAATGTCTTCTGGCTTTGCTGCTGAAGCGGTGCACTGTAAACCATGTTAAATTATACAGCAGTGTGATTCATGTCAGTTCGTGTTGCTTTTGTTTTAGCACTTCTTCCATGCACAGGAACCTTGGATTAAGGTGCAGTTCTTTGAACTGGCCCTTCACTTGTTTTTTTCTAGCAGTCTATTTAAAAAAAAGGTGAACTGGGTGACTGGTTGCAAGGCTAGACGGCAGTTTTTCTGCTGTGCTTGTTCTTTTCCTTTGGAGACACAGACGGTGGTCATTCTGTGAAAATCTCTCTTTATGGAGTGTAAGTTGCAGAACTCGGGAGAAAAAAAACACCTTCAGGAGGCCATTAATTGAGGTTTTTTCCCTCACTAGGTCAGCTGGCACAGTCCTGAGAGCAGCCGAGTCCTGGCAGTGTCCCAGGGCCGTGCTCATGTCTCCTGAGCTCATCAGTAAAACAGGCTACTGCTGTATGCCAACTGTAATGTCAAATCAGCATTCCTTCCACGCCGGCACATTTTCATAGTCTTAAGAGATTACATGGACGGCTGGCTTTCACTTTGGTTCGCGGGAGTGGATCTTTCCAATGTAATTAATGAAATCACTGCGAAGGTTTTTGTTTAAATGAGTAGTTCTCGCAGGTCAGCGCCCTGAGGGCTTGTGTTTCTGCCCTCTGTAATGGGGGGTAATTGGGCCTCAGATGTGCGCGAGGAAGATATCGTTATACTCTCCATCCTCACATTCTTTTAATTGGACAGAGTCATTTATGTCTTCAATTGTGCACTAACTGTATAACACTATGGGTGCTTCAACTAATTTACTGTTGTTTATTCCTGTTTCATTATAGCTCCTGTTATATTCAGAAACTAACGAGAAGATGATAATCAGGCCTGTTTCACGCACCTCAGGTCTGATGCAATTGGTGCATATTTGTATACTCATATTGACAGGATGCAGAATTCACACTACATGCACCCATTTCTGAAAAAGTCTTAGGACTGAATCCAGATGACTTAAGCAGTTTTGCATAAAGTTGAGTATTTCTAAATGTTTTGATGCTCTCACTGCTTGTTCTGCTCTACTGTCAGTCCCACAATCCCCCACATGAGCCTGCCATTCAGCTCCTATAGATAACTCATTGAAAATGCTTGTTTACTTTGGTAAACAACTGTGAACTGAACAAACATGAATGTGGTAATGCAACCTTAATTGCTTAAAATTATGTACTAGTATAATATAATATTTAAGAGAGTGTGTGTGTGTGTGTGTGTGTGTGTGTATATATATATTTGAGAGAATTTTCATTTTTAGCCCCCCTAAAAATGGCCTTGCGACGCCCATTCTCTGACTGTTTATAATAACATTTCACCTTTTTAAATAAAGCATTATATTTAGTAGGGGTGTGTGTGTGTGTGTGCGTGTGTGTGTGTGTGTGTGAAATTTGTATTAAAAATCACTGGTAATGAAATTTCACTGGTGTCTGCTTAATGGATTTTTTGGTATTATGACAACCCTAGTTCCACTAAAAAAGAGAAATTGTATAGAATTTAAACAACACTGCAATTCACTTTTTGGCATTTAACAAGAGGGTCGTCCAGAATCTATGTAAATTAAATTGTTGAAGGATGATATTTTCCTTTTGCCTTGATGTTCCTGACAGAGTTGAAGCGTTGGGAGTGGTTTAGCACTCAACCCAGTTCGAGCTCCCTTCTCAGCAGGATTCAGTCTTGGCATTCTGCACTGTATCAACACTCTATGTGTTTCCTCAACCTTGAGGCTGGAACGCCAGAGGGCCAGCGCAAACAAACTGATACACTTGTGCCAAAAACAAGCCTTTCAAGCTAAAGGGAAGGTTGTGAGGCTGCTGGTGCTTTACTAACACACCACCCCAAATTCCTGAGCCCTTGAAACGGCACTCATGGCTTAACTTCATTAGTTGGGTTTAGATTTAATTACACATTATTAGGCCTCTTTTTTTAGTATAGAAAGGATAGGAAATTCTCCCAGACGTGGTTTAGATTTGTATCAGGGAACTGTAGCGCCTAGGGCTGCTGTCAGTTAATGTGCAAGCTTTTTAATCTACGATGTTGGGCAAGGGAAGCAGATGCTGGATGTCTCTTCAGTTTAAAAGTCATATGTGAATTGCTGTTTGCAACCCATTTTTCTTTCACTACCTATTTAAGAATGCAGAAGGATGTTCAACTTGAGTTTATCCAGTTAGTTTCAGAGAATTTATTGGATCGTGAAAAGTGGGTGTTGCCCAAATTAAGTTTTGCTAAAACAATGCATAGCTATTTGACATTATCCAATAGCCTTCATGGATTGAGTGATGTCAGCAGAAAAGTTGTGATTCCATATGTATATATATATATTCATATATTTAATTATATATAATAGTTAATTATATAATAATAATAATATAAATAAATACTATCATTTATAATTTATATAATTTAGGTTTAGATGATATGCTGATTAATATATATGACGTTTGTGTTTTTTGTTTTAATAGATTTTAAAATGTTATTTATTCTTGTCATGGCAAAGATGAATTTTCATTATTCCAGTCTTCAGTTTCACTTGATCCTTCAGAATATGCTGATTTGGTGCTCAATAAATATTTCTTATTATTATCAATTTTGAAAACAGTTGTGCTGCTTAATGTTTGTGAAAACTTTGATAAATAGACAGTTACAAAAAACAGCATTCATTTGAAATAGAAATCTTTTTAACATTATAAATGTCTTTACTGTCACTTTTGATTAAATACATCCTTTCAGAATAAAAGTATTAATTTGTTTAAAAAAAAAGATTTTTACAGTATGATTAAAGATCGCAAAAAATATTTTATGTCTTTGGAATTAATCACATTATAAATAAATGAGGTCAATTCGAATTTAATATTGACTACAATGTACCAATACTATTCATGCACTAAGCCCATGTGTATTTCTTTTCTCTCTCTCCCTTTCTCTTTTCCCTGATTCTTCTTTTATTTCTATTTTAGGATGTGTTTGGATGCAAGAGACCCTTACTGTGGTTGGGACCGAAAGCAGCGCCGTTGCACCACCATAGAAGACAGCTCCAACATGAGCCAGTGGTTCCAGAACATCACTGCCTGTCCGGTAAGGACCAGCCGTTTAAAGAGTCCAGCTCACTCACTGCCTCATGCATGACTGATGTTTCGACACATGTCCGCCGTCTCCATAGCGCTCTGACAGTTTCCCTCTGCAGCTTTGAAATCGGTGTTGCGTGAAAGGTGCTATGCCGCATGATTGATAACATCACTTGAGGCAGCTGCTTTGTGGTCATTATTTTTAGGACTGAGATTCTGCACGCACCCAACCTTCAAATTCACACGTTTTTTCTCATTTATTCCAGCTGAGAAACCAAACCACAGATGGCGCATACGGGCCCTGGGCTCCATGGCAACCCTGTAGCCACGATGACGGCGAAGGCACCAGCACGTGTCTTTGCCGATCACGGGCTTGCGATAGTCCGCCCCCTCGCTGCGGAGGTAAAAACTGTGAGGGTCCCACCATTGAGGTGTCCAACTGTTCAAGGCAAGTAAAAAGTTTTTCAATAGTTCAGCCAAATAATTCAAATTCAGCTATAGCGTTTCTATGATCTGTTTTTTTCCCCGTTTGCTGCCATCCTGCATCTAAGGTGCTGAAACTGAATCGTGTTTTTAGCAGAAGTGGCAGTTCTCTCATCACACGAGATGCGCTGCAGGAACTGAGCACTTTAGCAAACTGAGAATGTTTCCCGATCAAAATTCCTTACCGAACCTGTCCTCTTTCTCCTCCATCACGTCACATTAGCCTTATCAAATGCAGCAGTGCTGCCGGAAAAAAAGTATTTCTATATCCCAAATGAGAAAATGGGCTTATACCTATCTCTTCTTGCCAAGGTTCACTGATGCTCACTGTTTTTTCTTTCTTTCCTTTTTCTGCAGGAATGGAGGTTGGACTCCCTGGTCGTCCTGGGGCCAGTGCAGCACAAGCTGTGAGATTGGGTTTGAAGTCCGCCAGCGATCCTGTAACAATCCTTCGCCCAGGCATGGCGGCCGAGTGTGTGTGGGGCAAAGCAGAGAACAGAGGTAAAAAGAGAGTTTTTATTTCGTGCACATCTAAATGTAAAAATCAAGACCTGAAACATATCATAATTATATTTAGATATTCATCAGTTATTTAATAAAGATTAGGTAATGTAATTAGGGAGCCTCAAATGAGATTTGATTCACTTTCATACGAGAAAGTTTAATCTTTCTAAGTCGGTTTCTTTTAAAAGGGGTCTTATCATACATTATTTTTTTTAATGGACCCCCTGGGGTCCACTTGTAATGTTTTTCAGTCTTTACACCAAAAATAGTCATTATTGAGTTTTATATTACCATTTTTACTCAGTGATCCTTATAATTAAGTCTGCTTTTATTTGCTCTTGTGCCTTAGAGGAATAGTTTACTCCAAACTGAAAAGTCTGACATTATTTTCTCAGTTTCTCCAAACTATATGCTATTACTTTTTTCAATAAAAGTTCATAGTGACCACGGGCTGACCAAGAACAAAACACTATAAAAGTAGTCCATATGAATATATTCCAAGTTTTCTGAAGCCATAAGATAATTCTGTGTGATGAATAGATTGATTTATGCAAGAAGAATTTAGAATTTATTATTTATAGATTCATTTATTTACATTTATGCAAGAAGATTTTTTTTGTGTTTGCTGTGTCTGTGTATAAGTCAGCGTTATAGAGTTATAGTTAACTAAAACTAAACGGAATATATATATATATATATATATATAAATAAAAACTTTGGTAACACTTCACTTAAAGCCTTTATGTACAGTGCATTATAAAAGGTTGTAAAAGGGTATAATGCATTATAATTATTCATAATATGCGTTGTAATACATTATATCTTGTCGTAAATAATTATAACCTAATTTAAAATGCATAGTGTAACAATAAATTAAGTGTTATAATGCATTAACTGTGGTTACAATTATTCATGATATTGTACAATACATTATAAGGTGCATTACAAGGCATAATTAATGCATTATGACTACTTATATAATGCATTATACATAAAGGCTTTAAGTAAATTGTTACCAAAACTTTTTTATTTTAGCTAGTTGACAAGGCAATATTTACCATTTTAATTTAGTTTAACTCGATGTAGTAATATAAGTAAAACAAAAACTGAAATAAAAATACAAACTGTGAGTGTGCGTGCGTGCGTGCGTGCATGCGTGTGTGTGTGTGTGCATGTTTATGTGGTTTATGAGGACACAAATTTGTATAATAACATGGGTATGACATAGGTATTACAACGAGAAGGTGATTTATGAGGACATTTTCAGTGTCCCCGTAATTCAAAAGGCTTATAAATAATTCAGAATGAGTTTTTTTGAAAATCTAAAAATGCAGAAAGTTTCCTGTGAGGGGTAGGTTTAGGTGTAGGGTTGGTGTAGGGCAATAGAAAATACGGTTTGTACAGTATAAAAACCATTACGCCTATGGAGAGTCCCCATAAACCATAAAAACAAACCTTGTGTGTGTGTAAAAAAATTAAAATTACAAAAACACAACAAAATTACTGAAACTTTAAGTAAAATGAAAATGAAAACATTAATATTAAGCCTGCTATGTGCTTTAATGTCACTATTGATGAGGATTGTCTTTGAATAATATCGGTCTTTAAATGCAAGACATATAAAGTGTACCTGAAGTATACTTGCAATAGTTCCACTTTAGCACAGTCAAATATATTTCAGTATATCTTTACAAAAGTACAGGCACAAAATTAGTTGTTCCAATTTAGCAGACTTTAAGTATACCAGTTTAGTATACTAAAAGTACAGTTGCAGGGAATTTTTATTAAGTAGATAAATATGTAAATTTATTTGTAGTACACTTAGCTTTAAATAAATATATTTCAAATATATTTTAGTATGTTTATGTTTCACTAGGGTAGCCATATAAAAACTGGCGTGAATTTACACAGGACATAAAGTAAAGCTTTAAAAGGACAGTAAATTGAACTCCAGGAAGGTATTATACACTAAATTATTTTATGATTTATCTTATGTTATCAACAAATCACATCACACCAAAACATGTTATGACATTTTGTGCGGTTATATGCTTTCTATACAACAAAAGATCAAGACAAATCAAAATAACATTCAGTTTTCTAAAATGCTCTTTTGATCTTGTATTTTAAATCGGACAGATTTCTTTGCTCTCCAACTCTCTTAAGAGCTGCAATTAATTCAAATTTAATCAACTTAATTAGGACTCAAATTAACGTTCCTTGCAAAGAACTGTAACACCCCCTTGGGTGTCTAGCAAGGATCCATTAAATTGTATTAACTGTTCACAGTGATGGTACAAGAATGAGCTTCACGTGCGTCTTAAGAGGAGAAGTAATGTCGCCTGTGCATGAGGAATGAGCAACTAGATGATATCATCTCTTTGTCAAACTTCCACATTGCAGGAGTACCAGGCATGTAATCTGGAGTCCTGTCCGGAGGTGCGCCGAAACACCCCATGGACCCCTTGGGTCCCAGTGAACATAACCCAGGGAGGGGCACGGCAGGAGCAAAGAGTACGCTACATCTGCCGGGCCCAACTGGCTGACCCTCATGAGCTTCAACTGGGCAAGCGTAAAGTAGAGACACGCTTCTGCCCTAATGACGGGACGGTAACCTGCGATACAGACTGTGAGTGTTTAGATCCTTTTTTCTAATGCACACCCACACAATGAACAGATCTGACTGAGTTAGCCGATACTGCTGGCTCGATGACCGTTCAGGGTCACAGTTCAGCTCTTGCCCACTTTGCACATGTCGGGCGCCACATTGATTAACTGAATCTTGCTGTCTGAAATCGGGAGAGGTCAAACACTTGAGGTGCACATAGAATGCATTAGAGGCAAGGGAGTGTCAGAATTCACCTTGTGCAGGTTGCTGTGACCAGAATGTTTTTTGTCAGAGATGCTGTAAAACACAGCATGACATTGGTAGTTTTTTAGTAACCTTGAATTACACAGAAAAAGGCCACTCCTTAAAATAACACACTCAGAGAGTGCTGCAGTGATGACTCCTTTATTAGTCCAACCCGGAAGTTAGCATCACCCTGGTTCCCTCGACAAAATCCCAATAGGATTTTTTCCATTGGATTTTTGAATTCTTGCAAAAAATAAGATTTGTAAGCAAACAAAAGTTTATGCTTCTTTAATATTTTGTTCATCATGATAATCTTCACGAATGAATACAACAATTCTGAAGTCTAAATGCAACTGCCAGAAATAAAAAGCTAAAAATTTGCAATAAACAAACTATACCATGGAAGCCCATTAAGGTGCCCAAAAAAAGTTTTTGTACTGAAAACTCTTTCAGTATTTATTTTCAAAGCATTTTACCTAAACATTTTAGTTAGAATAGTTCATTGTAAACTATGCAGTTATTAATACAATGAGGCTGTAAAAGTGGCTGTTTCTGGTTCACTGTGATGACTTTTAATGTTCCCAACAACTTCTGTAGTCCCATTTAGGCACTTGTTAGCAAACGTCTATTTCAAGACAAGTAAAATCTTTAAAAATATCACAAGAGGTTATTACAGGTGTATCTTGTTGTAGGATAAATGTGAAAATATCTTGACGTTGGGTTAACCACAAACCTTATTTCAGGATTTTTAACCCAAAGCCCATTCGAAAAATTAATTGACTTCTGGACGATAAAACCGGAAGTGCTTAAATGCTCTTCTCCTGGTTTTGACCTACAAAAATTCATCATCCCTGCAGTGCTCTTTAAATAAAATGACTGTTCACACCAAGAACAATAACTGTGAAGATAACTAATAATTTACATAACTATATTAGTCAGGTGGATTCTGTATCATCATAACTTAGTATCAGTAGGCTGGGAAAACATTCAATGGGAACACGCAATATATGTTTTACAGCTCTCGTTGAGGAGCTTCTCAAGACGCCTGGTGTACGACTGACAAGCTCTGGCTGGTCATCGTGGGAGATGTGGTCAGCTTGCACTCAGGAGTGTGCCAAAGGCTACCGCTCTCGCAAACGCACCTGCACCAGCGCAGAGGGCAAAAGCGTTCCCACTGCCTGCCGGGGATCTCCAGTAGAATATCAGGATTGCAATCCTCAGCTCTGTCCAGGTAACACACATCCTCAGAAACACGCATGTAAACACAAGCACACTCCAAATGCACATATACATATGTGCACACAAATACACACATAAATAGACTCCCACATATGCTCATAATCAAGGTAGTTGCTCATCGTGCTGGAAAAGCCTCTGTTTCCATTAGAGCGTGTGAAGTGTATTACTGAATTCATTAGCTAATGGAAACCAGAAGCCCCGTAGGGACCTGCTGTGGTCAAATTAAGAGGTTTCACCATAATTCCAAACAGACATGAACTCAAGGATAAATCTTGAATCACAAGATCAAATTAAATTTTCCAGTTAGCACCAAAACTTTAAAGGTTAAGTGTAAAATGGCATCAAACTGAATTGATAAAATAGCTAGATAATTATATTTCAAAGAAGAAAATGTGAATGACAAATTTGCCTGCCACCAAGTGGCTTATTTTCTGTAGGTGAACAGAGGGAGTTGCTCATGGGTTGCTAAGATGTTTTCAAAGATTTTTTGCATATTGCTATAGTATGCGATTGCTAGCATGTTTATTTCTCTCCAGTTTTAACAGTCCTCTTTGGCTCAAACAAACAGAGCCATGTTTTGAAAGTGCTACTTCACCTGTGATCCTTCACAGTGCAAATTATCTGACCAATCGCATATAGTATGAGATTCTTAGCATGTTTAGGGATGCTAATGGACAGTTTAAGGATGCTAACAAACAGTTTAAGGGTGCTAACATGCAGTTCAAGAGTGCTAACACATTTTAGGAATGCTCATGATAAGTTAAATGGTGCTAACAGACATTTCTAGGGTGCTAACAGAAAATTTGGGCATGCTAATATACAGTTTAAAGGTGCTAAAATACATTTCTCTCCAGGTTTAACAGTCTTCTTTGGCTCAAACAAACAGTTGAAAGTGCTAATACTTCACCTGTGGTCCTTCACAGTGCAAATTATCTGACCAATCACCCTGGAAGTTCCGAACAGATGGTTTTGTGTGTTTCTTTAGACGTATTGACAGCTACTTGCCAATGCATTGTCCACTCTAAACTCTCTCTGAGTGTGACAAATGAACGGCACTCACAGTATTTGCAATGCTGTTTTCCACTCAGGCAGAAAGGGAAAATAGGATTGAAATGAAGCGGAAGGGAAGGGGGTAGGGCACATGGATTCAAACACATTACTGACATCAGGCAACCATTTTAATCATTGTTTTGACCTCAGACATGCAGTTCAATTCAACGACCGGCTTCTCCCTCTGTGTGTGTGGTTGCTGGACTCACTGTGATTGCAATCGTTCTGCCTTCACACTTCAGTCGTGCCCCAGTACACACATGCTAATCCACTGAAGTTAAACAGTGCTTTCTAGTGCAGAAAGAAGGAGCCACTCCTAACCTTCTCCTCCGTCTGATGAGACGTCAAGAGGATGGTGGCAGGGCCTGTTAAAGTGAGAGAAAACTGCACAACAGCAGTGCTTCTGTCCTGGTCAGTGCTGGAAAATCTAGTTTATGGTGGTAGCTGTGATTTGGAACATGATGGCTGGTTTCTAGCTGGTAGATCATCTACAAATAAGTTGGTTATACCAGCTTTCGTTGGTCAAGCTGGTCTATGGTGACCAGCTTGGACCAGCTAGATATCAGTCACCACCTTAATCTAGATTTTCCAACAGGATAAACAATGAAATGGAGGTGAACAGCTGGTGTTCATTGTAACAAGAAGTCTCAAGTGTTTGGTGAGGAGCTTTGTGGGTCAAATAAAGCTGTTTGAACCTCCATTCTGCCCTGAACTTTGAATGTCCGGATCAACATCACATCCCATAACAGATGTCTGCTTGCCTTGTCCGCCTTGTGGGAGTTTCCAATCATGTTGGTTTTTTTGGATTGTTTTGTGTTTGCCTGTTTGATTGATGCTTTTTTATGTTTGTGTTCGGTACATTGTGTTTGCATCCTCCGCTCCGTCTTTCTTGTTTGCGCTGCATTTGCGTCCGCTTATCTGATGCTTGGATGATTGTGTCCCCCTCCTTGCCTGATTGTTTTGAGTTTGTCTTTGTATGTTGTATTTGTTTGTATGTGTTTGGTCTGTGCAGTTAACGGCGCCTGGTCTTGCTGGTCATCATGGTCGCAGTGTTCGGTGCCCTGTGGAGGTGGGCACTATCAACGAACGCGCACATGCACCAGCCCTGCCCCTGCCAATGGAGGGGACATCTGCATTGGCTTGCACACAGAGGAGGCTCTTTGCAACACGCACACTTGTGATGGTAAGATCAGTTCCAATCCAGAACCACAAATGGGATAAAAAAAAAAGCTTTAAGTGAAATGTGCTACAAAAAAATCAAGGCTCTCCAAATTTAGCTCTAACGCTGTCTGTAAGCACAAGATACATTTGGTTTTCAATGTGTCATCTGTCCATCAACACCCATTATTATCACCAATTAAAAACACAGTTCTATGGAGGCTTATTTTCGCCATGGGATAAAAATATGAAAGGTAATTGTTTTTTTGTTTGTTTTTAATTCTTTTGTAAATTAAAATTTTTTTCACAATTGCAAGTCTATGTCTCACAATTCTGACTTTTTTCCTCACAATTGAGAGTTTATATCTTATATTTAAAATATATAAAATTTTCTCAGAATTCTTTTTAATTACGTTTTCCTGTTTAATGTTATTGTTTTTTTAATTAAAAGGTAATTACGACTTTTTATCTCACTGTTATGAGTTTTTTCTCGTAATTATGAGTTTATATCTCACAATTCTAACTTCTCTTTGATTATATCTTGCAATTATTTTTTCAGAATTTTCTCAGCAAACGTGAATTGTAAGATATTAACTCAGAATTGCAAGAAAAAAATAATTGTAAGAAAAAAATAACAATTGCTTTTTACATTTTTTTTCTTAAAATACAAAAGGTAATTGTGACTTTTTATTGAAACGTATAAGCTTCCTCCAAAAGTTTCAACCCTGCTGAAAAGTTCAGCTTAGAGTAGCATGGTTGATCAGCATTGGAATTGTATTCACCAGCAAAACATAACTAATGAGGATGGTTAACTGAGGAAATTGTGCTGGTTGAATTGTGCTATTTAAATGGATAATTCACTCAACAAATGACAATTCTGGCATAATTTTCTCCCTCACGTCATGCTAAACCTGTATAACTGTATGAAACTCCAAAAAAAGAAGATATTTTGAAATGTCTCAGCATTTGTCTCCATAGAGTGAAATATTTTATTTTGTGTTCTGCAGAAATTCAGTGATAGTGGGTTCATAAATAATGACCGAATTTAAACTTTTCAGGTGAACTATCCCTTTAAGAAGCCATGCGAGCGCACCAGCATCCACAGCACAACATATGCTGGTCTTTTTAATGGTATAGTTTATGACCAACTGATTATCATTGCATTGAAGGAATGATTTCAGACCTGTCAATCACCAGTAACACATTCTTCAGATTCTGAGAGGGGCTTCTGGGGTCCTCCAGGCTACAGATGGTGCCATATGTGAGCTGCATGCATATAGAAGTGTGCTGTGTGCAAGCAGACTGTGGCAGCACAAAGCTCTGTTGTCACATACTGCTGCCATCACTTTAAAAATGTCCCTTTTTTCAAAATGTCCAGCTGTCTCTTTAAGACAAAACTTAAATATTTATGAAGATTGGATCATGTAAAGCCCTGTAGCTTTAATAAATGCTATACTACCTTTGTATTACCTTTGACTCCCTGATTAACACCTCAAATTCATGCTTTTGATGAAAGATCATGTTTAATTATCAATCAAGTCCATTTAAAAATACTAAGAGTAAACTCAGAATGTAAAACATCCCATATTGGTCACGTATAAAGTTCCATTACAGTAAGATTCTGCTTTAAAAATACTTCATGACATATTGTTTGCTTAAGGACAATAAATGAAGATTGATGTAGCTGTAATCGGGGTGCCTTTTATCATTGTTAACTGTGGATCTGCTTTTTTCGGAAATACTACGATATTGACTGGGACTAGTTGCTACTGATCTTAAAGTCTTTTGGATCCTTGATTCAAACATTTGGCCCCTGTTGGCCCCCTTCATAAATGACAAATTTGTTAGGCTCTGGGAGAGTTATAAGACTGTGTATGGTGTAGACAAGCATCTTAAAAGCTGTAACCTGAAAGGAATGTGTCTATTTACAGATTGGATTTTCCCAGCAAACAAATACATTTTAAATCAAAGTTTCTTCTAAGTAAATTTCTTGGTACACTTGCTGTGAAAGTGTTGCCTCAGACTATGATTATTTTTGCCTCCTCGTGTGAATCTGGCGGTGTTTGTTTCATGTGCGTGGGTGGGCCGTTGAGTCGGCAGCGCTCTGGTTAGATTGCCTCTGAACTGTGAGAATGGACAAAATTGAAACACTCCATTTAAAGCGAGAGTTCAGCCAAAAAATTCTCGTAATTTACTGTTAAGTTGTTCCAAACCTATGATTTTCTTTCATTCTTTGCACTAACAAAAGGTGCAATTTTAAAGAATTTTCTGATTTCTCTTTTCTATGCAATTTCTATAAATGGGGACTTAAGTTAATAGATTTAAAGTTAATATTTCAATAATACAATACATTTGCATATTCATGGTTCTCTGATGACGGTTAATGGTCACAAAACCTATGCAAACCTAATATTTAAAATCCTTAAGCTTTAATTTAGTGGAACACTGGTGAAATGCTGTACAGTTCTGTCCACAAACATTTAGGAAATGATGCCAATGTACATGAAGAAAACCTAGCACACACTGCATTCCCACATGTACAAATTTAACTTGCATCAGATGCAATGATTGTGTTTGTGAGAAGCAGCATTTACCAATTATATCATATTATTTAAATGATAGCCTTTGATTTGATAGTCAAAGCTATATCGCAATTGCTCTTTAATTTTGATGAACTGTGCAGCCCTAGTTATTTAAATTTTGCATTCGATTAAATTCTTTATCCCCGTTTGGGAAATCTTGACTTAGAATATAGTCATTTGGACCACTATATTAAACACACACATACATATATATATATATAGGGTGAAATAGTCATGGGGTGAATGAGAACACAGACTCGCTACTGCTATAAAGTGCCCCGGAGGTGCGGTTATATGCTTTCTATACAACAAAAGATCAAGACAAATCAAAATAACATTCAGTTTTCTAAAATGCTCTTTTGATCTTGTATTTTAAATCGGACAGATTTCTTTGCTCTCCAACTCTCTTAAGAGCTGCAATTAATTCAAATTTAATCAACTTAATTAGGACTCAAATTAACGTTCCTTGCAAAGAACTGTAACACCCCCTTGGGGGTCTAGCAAGGATCCATTAAATTGTATTAACTGTTCACAGTGATGGTACAAGAATGAGCTTCACGTGCGTCTTAAGAGGAGAAGTAATGTCGCCTGTGCATGAGGAATGAGCAACTGGATGATATCATCTCTTTGTCAAACTTCCACATTGCAGGAGTACCAGGCATGTAATCTGGAGTCCTGTCCGGAGGTGCGCCGAAACACCCCATGGACCCCTTGGGTCCCAGTGAACATAACCCAGGGAGGGGCACGGCAGGAGCAAAGAGTACGCTACATCTGCCGGGCCCAACTGTCTGACCCTCATGAGCTTCAACTGGGCAAGCGTAAAGTAGAGACACGCTTCTGCCCTAATGACGGGACGGTAACCTGCGATACAGACTGTGAGTGTTTAGATCCTTTTTTCTAATGCACACCCACACAATGAAGCCGATACTGCTGGCTCGATGACCGTTCAGGGTCACAGTTCAGCTCTTGCCCACTTTGCACATGTTGGGCGCCACATTGATTAACTGAATCTTGCTGTCTGAAATCGGGAGAGGTCAAACACTTGAGGTGCACATAGAATGCATTAGAGGCAAGGGAGTGTCAGAATTCACCTTGTGCAGGTTGCTGTGACCAGAATGTTTTTTGTCAGAGATGCTGTAAAACACAGCATGACATTGGTAGTTTTTTAGTAACCTTGAATTACACAGAAAAAGGCCACTCCTTAAAATAACACACTCAGAGAGTGCTGCAATGATGACTCCTTTATTAGTCCAACCCGGAAGTTAGCATCACCCTGGTTCCCTCGACAAAATCCCAATAGGATTTTTTCCATTGGATTTTTGAATTCTTGCAAAAAATAAGATTTGTAAGCAAACAAAAGTTTATGCTTCTTTAATATTTTGTTCATCATGATAATCTTCACGAATGAATACAACAATTCTGAAGTCTAAATGCAACTGCCAGAAATAAAAAGCTAAAAATTTGCAATAAACAAACTATACCATGGAAGCCCATTAAGGTGCCCAAAAAAAGTTTTTGTACTGAAAACTCTTTCAGTATTTATTTTCAAAGCATTTTACCTAAACATTTTAGCTCTTTAATTTTGATGAACTGTGCAGCCCTAGTTATTTAAATTTTGCATTCGATTAAATTCTTTATCCCCGTTTGGGAAATCTTGACTTAGAATATAGTCATTTGGACCACTATATTAAACACACATATATATATATATAGTCATGGGGTGAATGAGAACACAGACTCGCTACTGCTATAAAGTGCCCCGGAGGGTGATTTATTGACCCACACACGTGCTCAGATGAATGGTGCTCAGTGCTCATGGGATGAAGTGCCGTGGGGAAGATCCCTCTCCTGGGGTGCCGTCGGATTCCTGGAGCTCCGTTGCAATTTTCCTGTAATGCCTCTTCTCCTGGCTTTTATGGCCCGTGGGAACGAGCTCCATATGCGCCACTCATCACGCACAGGTGTTGTGATTGTGTGATCGGTGTGGAAGCGGCGTTTCCAGGGCAACGCGGATCTGGGCCCGGGATACTCGCCACATTCTCCAGGCGTCGCCCTGGTCCTGTGGGGAAACAACTTGTTGTGGGGGTATTACGGGAGGGGAATTTGATGTTACCTGCCAGACCTGCCCAACCGGACCAGCCCCGGGAGAGACCGTCCGCATTCCCGTGGTCGGCCCCGGCCCAATGTTGTACCTGGAAGCAGAAGTCCTGGAGTGCGAGGAGCCACTGAGTCACCCGGGCGTTCATGTCCTTCGCCTTGAACATCCATTGGAGTGGCGCATGGTCTGTGACGAGGGTGAACCGGTGCCCCCAGAGGTAGTACTTCAACTCCAGGGTTGCCCACTTTATGGCCAGGGCCTCTTTCTCCAGCCCCACGTACCTGGTTTCCGCAGGGGAGAGTTTCCTGCTGATATAGACCACGGGGTGTTCCTCTCCATCCCGGAGCTGGGAGAGGACTGCTCCTAAGCCGGTGCCGGAGGGGTCGGTATACAGGGTGAAGGGGCAGCCAAAGTCTGGGGCATGCAGGACCGGGGAGGACGTCAGGGCCGTCTTGAGGGCCCGGAAGGCGGCTTCTGTCTCGGGAGTCCAGTCTATCTTCTCCGGCTGCCCTTTCCTGGTAAGGTCTGACAGGGGGCAGGCTATAGAGGAGAAGTTAGGGATGAAGCATCGGTAGTAGCCCGCCAACCCCAAAAATGTCCGTACCTGCGTCTTGTGTACACAACATCCTCAGATGTTGTACTTTGAGGAGTCGACAGAGGTCCGCCATGACCCGGGATATGAATGGGGTACCCTGGTCAGTCAGGATTTCCTTTGGGATCCCGACTCGGCTGGCCAGCAGGAATAGCTCTCGGGCAATGTTCTTGGCGTTTGCCGCTTAAAGAGGAATGGCTTCCGGGTACCGGGTGGCGTAGTCCAGGATGAGCTCATGTCCCCGGGCAGACTTCGGCAGCGGTCCCACCAGATCCATCCCGATCCGCTCAAAGGGCACATCGATGACGGGTAGTGGAATGAGCGGGCTGGGGGGAGGATGACGAGGAGACGTCTGCTGGCAGGTGGGGCAACTACGGCAGAATAGTTTCACTTCTGCCTCCAGTCCTGGCCAGTGGAAACGGTCCTGGATGCGTTGGACGGTATTTTTGGCCCCGAGGTGCCCCACCATCGGATGGACATGTGCCAACTCCATGACTGTCTCCGTCTTGGTTTTGGGCACGACCAAGAGGAATTTTTCCTCCCCCCGCCTGTGGGCGACAGTACAGCAGACCATTTCTTATTTCAAAATGAGGGAGGGGGTGTGGGCCCGGAAGCCTGTCTACCTCATCGACTTGGCACACTTGTTCCCAACAGTTTCGCAGGCGGTCGTCCTCTCGTTGCTCCCTGCCGAACGAACCCCCGGTCATGACCTGTGAAAACACATCGAGGTAGACAGACGGAAGGTTAGCTGGTTGACACTCACCCTCCCTCTCGCTGTCCGTTGCTAGGTAGGCCGGTCTCGGGCTGGGCGGTCCCCGACGGTTTCTCCGTGGCCCGTTCCGGGCGGTACGGCCAGGTGTCCTGGGGGTGAGGAGGAGCTTCTCGAACCCCGGCCAGTCCCGCCCCAGGAACAGAGGTACGGGGAGGTCTCGCACAATGCCCACCTCGACGGCCCAGGTCCCGGGCTCCGTTGAAATCCGAACCGTGCGGGCCGGCACATAGCGGGTGTCTCCGTGCACACACGTAAGTGGCAGCTCTGACTTCTGTTCAGGCCTTGGTTTTACCAGGGTAGGTTGCACTAGGGTGACCGAACTGCCGGAATCCAACAAGGCTTGAACTGGTTTACCCTCTAGCTTTACCATCCGGCTGGGGCCAGGGGAAGGTCCGTCTTGATGCAGGAAACACCCGGCCATCCAGGCTCGGGCCGGTCAGGGCTGGGAGTTCAGAGGGCATTGGCTCTTCGAAAGAGTTCGAGGACCGCCGGTCTGCAGACTGGTCGCGGTGCACCTTCGAGCGGATGCCGCTCCATCACCCTGCCTTGCAGGCATTCGTCGCCTCAGCCAGCTCAGGCCGTGATAATCTCAAAAGTATGGAGGTAAGCTTTGTTTTCTTAGTGCTTGGATAACCTGACGAGGTACTGGTGAGCCTTGACGGGCGATTCCGGGAGGGGCACGCTGGCCTGCAGTTGTTCCACGACCCTGTCAGTATACTCCTGTCGTGCAGCCAGTTGCTCGGTAAACTGCTGCTGGCGGCCCGAGAGCTCAGTCAGGCAGCGGATGATCTCTTCCATTTGTCCCTGGGGGCGAGAGCGGTTCTCCTAGATGAAACACAGAGATCATTAGAGCAACCTGGCGTTACAAGTCTGTGTCTCAATTCCCCTGTAATGCCTGCATTCTCCACCATATGTCGCGGGGTGAATGAGAACACCGCTACTGCTATAAAGTGCCCCGGAGGGTGATTTATTGACCCACACACTGATAAGACGTGCTCAGATGAATGGTGCTCGGTGCAAGTCTCCACTCGGTGCTCGTGGGGTGAAGTGCCGTGGTGAAGATCCCTCTCCTGGGGTGCCGTCAGATTCTGTGAACAGGGAGAAACAAGCATTAATTTCGCCAGGATCTCCATTGCAATTCTCCTGTAATGCCTCTTCTCCTGGCTTTTATGGCCCGTGGGAACGAGCTCCAGGTGCACCACTCATCACGCACAGGTGTTGTGATTGTGTGATCAGTGTGGAAGCGGCGTTTCCAGGGCGACGCTGATCTGGACCCGGGATACTCGCCACAATATATATATATATATATAAATATATACAATTTTGGTGCTTGACAGAGGAAAGTCACACAGGTTTTGGAATGACATGAGTGTGAGTAAATGATGACAAGAATGTTAATTTTTAGATGAACTGTTTCTTTAAATCCTGTGTTTATGCCTGTGTCTTTGTGCAGGTGGGTGGATGGCCTGGTCGTTGTGGTCTGAGTGCGATGACTCGGGCCTGCAGCTGCGCAGTCGAGTGTGCGGGGCTCAATCCACACCATGTGTGGGAAACAGCTCCCAGCACCGAGACTGCAATGAGATCCCAGGTGAGAGAGAGCTATATATAAACACACACACATATTCACAAGGCGTCCGACTATCCCATTATGAAGCAAAGCTTTTCCCAATTGCAGTGTTACTCTTATTAAATAAACATACACTTTTAAACCCTGTCAAACTCGCTGTTGTTTTTAATAGATTAGATGTAATATGTTTACTTGCGCTTATTCATTACTCTGGCTGGTGGAGTGGAAGTGTTCAAAGTGAAGAACTGAACGCTCCCAGCCTGCGAGAACACGAGTTATCAGAGCGGAATACCAAGTGAATCAGGCACTCTAATTAATATTAATGTTATGCCACAAGGCAGCCTCGCATCCAATTTCTCTCCAATTTTGGGAAACGGGTTCCAAATCCTGAGGTGTCTTAGACGGTGAGGAGATCAAGGAGAATTGTGCATCTCAATCAAAACATCTCCCCCATACCCATCTCTGCTCTTTGTGGAGATTTCATATAGAGCTTGAAAAGCATGACTCTGGGTGGTAATAGAGAACCTCAGACTCTATCGCAGTGAAAAGCAGTGAAAAATGGCATTTCCATCCAAGTGCAGCTCATTACTTCAACCAAAATTGAATATTTACTCTAAATGAGTGTTTAAAGTTTTATTTAGCAAAATAGCTTGCAACTGTTTTTACTGACATAGTTCATGTTTACTGGCTGTTCATTCTCAAATACACGCAATATTTGAATAACGTAATGCGTAATGGAAGCATAATAATTTAATCACTTTCATGCGACCCGATTGACAGGCTTTGATGTGATTTCCTGTACTTTATCACTGCAGACCTGCTCATCCCTCAGGTATAAAACAGGAGACTTGCTCACCACTGAGATCTACAGCTCTTTGAATCGCCCCACTTCAGGGTTGCTTTTGAAAGGAGAAAGTAGAGTGGGATAAGACGGGGAATGATTGACATTTTGGCTGTAATTCAGCAAAGGGAGGCAAAACAAGAGAGCGTGTAATGACCTGCTCACAGGACTTTTTCTTGCACCAGCCTGCTTCATTTTTAAATTGTTGGTTTATGTTTAGTTTATTGGTCGCAACCCAAAATTTTTGGTCACAACCCAAACTGATCAACAGAACAGAAAAAAAAGGTGCACTAAATGCATTAATAAAATAAAATGTGACTAACCATGCATAGTTACAATAGCAAAATAAGCTTATTAGCTTTTAAAAGGATGTTTCGTGTCTTTTGATGTTGACATCAAGGCTGCACATCCATTTGATAAAGATATGAATAATTTTGCATATTGTTGGGTCTATGCATTTCATGGAATATTGACAGTTTTCAATATTTGACCATTTTTCTTTACTTTTGTATTATATATATATATATTTGTTTATATATATATATATATATATAAACAAACAACTGGTATTATTTTAAGTCAGCACTTCAGCACTAAAGTAAAATTACGTATATAAGCATCTGACAGTTCGACCCCTAGTGAAAAATAAATATACTTAAATATAAAAATGTATTAGTAGTAGCCTTTCAAATACATTTATGTACTTAACTAAAATACCCTGCAATTGTACTTTTAGTATACTAAACTGGTATAATTAAAGTCTGCTAAATTGGAACAACTAATTTTGTACTTAATGCACTTTAATTGTGCAGAAGTAGTGCTGAAGTCCAATTAAAGATATACTTGTGCTAAAGTGGAACTATTGCAAGTATACTTCAGGTACACTTAAGGTATATTTTCCATTTAAAGACCGATATTATTCAAAGATCATACAATACTCATCAAGAGTAACTTTAAAACACAGTTTAGACTTAATATTAAGAAATGTGCATTGTGCACAAGTAGTATGCCAAATAAAGTTTAATTTTACTATACTTAGTATGAAATAAAAGTATTTTAAATATACTTTTTTACTAGGGACAATTTTGACCATTTTATCCAAAAAGACTTGCGTTGTATTCTGGGTATACATTCATGTGGTCCCAGGAAAGCAAACCTATGACACTGGCGTTGCTGCAGACATGCTCCAAGCTACACGAATTTCGATTTTGAAGCAAAACTACCTGACAGCTACTGCTCTAAATGGATGTCTGTGACTGTTCCGATGCATCTCGAACCACAATCGTTGTGTTTTAAAGATGCCTGGTCAATTTGAAAGATGTTTGGCATCAGTTCAAGATGTTTAGAAAGAGCTCAAGACCCTTGCAAGAGCTCATCCTGTGTGAACAGCCACTAACTATACATCTCTTTCTCTACACAGCCATTCTCCCGGCATCTAGCTATGAAAAGGACCAGCAGTGTGGGGGTAAGTGCTTTGTATAAACCGATATGTTTGTATGGTGTTCACCGCATGTTAGTATGCGCTTATGCATGCACGCTCTCGTGAATGCTCAAAGACATGTAGCAATGTGCTGCTTGTGTGTTATGTTTCATGTCGGCTCCTTTTCATCCCGAACTCAGGCAGAAATGGAATCGCTAAGAAGGTTTAAGTGAGTGAACTTCATAATTCACACTGCTGATCTTCAGTTTTCCATGTGTCGTGTTCCACGGCTCTTGTGGCTCTCCCACATGCAGAGGTGCTGCCTTTCCAGTGCATGCACCAGATGAAAAATACATGAGGGGGCACAGCGGTGCTTTTTAGGTTGCGGATCCAGGCGACATCGGGCAATGGCTGCCCTCAGAGTTGGCACTGCAGTGCCAATTTGGGGTTTCTCCAGGTGGCAGCACATATTACCCATCATGCTCCAGCAGTGCTACTCTCCTGAGTGATCGTTGTCCAATTAGAGCAGTTCATGGCAGGGTATGGCATTCGCTCTCCTCAATCACATTTCGCACTCATTACGGGCCAGACCGGCAGGATGCCCGGTCCGTCACATCGACCGGCTAATCACAGCACTGTCCCTCGGTACTGCATCATTCAGCCAGATGCTTTGAAGCACCTGCCTACCGCTGGTTGATGGCTACGGACATGTAGTGTTAATGATGAGGGATGCAATGGTGCCGCATCGCTCCGAATCCACTGACAAGGATGACTATATTGTCTCATTATTTGAAAAAGTATATTTAGTCAAAGGTCTGGATGAAAATGCCAACATATTACAGTTATTTGCAGACAAATGGTTACGGTAATATTGCCTTCTCTTGTTTTCCCAGGGTTCACTCTGCTTCACCTGATAGCTACAGGTGTGTCATGCTTCCTGGGTGCTGGTCTGCTGTCCTTCCTGGTGTATGTGTACTGTCAGCGGTTCCACAAGCCCTCGCAGGAGTCTGCTGTCATCCATCCCACCACTCCCAACCACCTCAACTACAAGGGCAACACCACACCAAAGAATGAGAAATACACACCCATGGAGTTTAAGGTCAGTGTTGAAGAAAATAATTCTCATAATGCTTTTTATGCAGTGAAAAGGGTTTAGCATGTTGTTGTTGATCATGAAGAAGTCTCTCTTGAATGAGTGGGATTTTTTGTTTTGTTTAGTTGGTGATGTTTTCATTTCAGAAACTGTGATTAGGTGGAAAGTCATATAGAAGTTCTAAAATCATGCACACATTTATTTAGGGATGCACAGAAATGTAAATTCTGGGCTGAAATGGAAACAGAAATTTCTGGATGCACTTGACCGAAAACTGAAACGGAAACTGCTTTTTTAATAATTATTCATTATTTTTATTAAATAATATCAAATAATTTTGTAAGACTTTTTAATTTAACTCAACTAATAATTTTAATGATACTGAATTTAAAAAATACAAGCCAATAAAATAACCACACTTTTTAGTGGATCGTTTGCATGGGCCTTGAGCAACTCAATGGAACGCACATTCATAGAACAGAATATTGAGTGGAGTGTCACACCTGCAAAACCGCTTAACACTGCTGGGTGGTGCAGCACGCCATACATTTTCAGCCGTAAAAAACAAAAATTTAATTTTCAGCGGATAATTTTCAGCAGCCAAATTTCGGTGCATCCCTACTTCATAGTGTGCAAAATTCAGATATACAATGAATTAAAGTAGTTTGCAATGTAGTTGCTAAAATTAAGATGGAGGGATAAAGACTATTTCTTGTCAGTATAGGCCTGGCGTATCCCAAATGCACTTTGCAGCCATTATAATGTCACAAAAGCTTTATTTTTCAAATAAATGCTGTTCTCTTAAACTTTATTCATCAAAGAATCCTGAAAAAAACATGCTAAAATGTGCTACAATAATACTGCACTCTCATTGATACTGAATGCATAATCAAATTTAGAAATATATTTTAGTTAACACTCAAAAGGCAAGGATTTGTAGACCTCTTGGAAATAGCGGTCATTGTAATTCTGCAGAGATCTGTTCAGATTTTGTGTGAGCCTGAAGATAAGTTTCTAATAAATGTCGACTTGGAATCTGTGGCCTTAGAATTCCACATAAAGCTCAGTGGGCTTTGGCAGATTGCAGATCCTGTTTGTATTCATGTATTTTGGCAACTTTCAAAATCTTCTCAGCTGCATAAAAGTGTGTTTAACATATCCGTTTTACACATTTTACCATATTCAAATCTCTTTCACAGATGTGATCAAACAGATCAATGTTTCGATAGCACCACAGAGACACAGTGTTTACTGTTTTCATGGGAATGCGACCACAAATGCCTTTTATATACTCTGCATATTAAGATGTATTTCAACATCAGAAAATGACATTTTACTTTTACATTTCCCCACAGATGAGCTATCAGGAAAAGTTGCGAGCAGCCAAGTAACCGACTCTATATCGTAGAGCACGCTCGTTTGTTTTGTCTGAAATGAGCATCGCTAGATAACTGATAGTTTGGAGATTACTGCTGGTTTCACTCTCCCCACGGCCGCTTGTTTAGCCGCCTCTTCTGGCTGCACGCGGTTCCTGGCACACACTCCGTCTTTATTAATGGGCTTCATTAGGCTGTTTAAGCAGCAGCCGCTCGGTGGACTCCCACAGCTGGTTGTGACTGATCGTCGAGCTCATCCAATTAGTTTGGCTCGGCTCGCTCTCCCTCCACCTCGTGTCCTTGCTGTGACACCTGTGCGAGCCTTTTGCCACTTTTTCCATCGATCTTCTGCATGACCACTACTCATTCGAAACTCATTATGAGATTTGGCCAATACGAGTGGATCGAGAAAGAAGCGGCCATTGCAAAAGGCAGTCACTCGGGCCTCTGTCCACGCATTCCCAGGGCACGCCGGTGCGCAGATGGCTGTGTGATATTAACCGTGTGACATGGAGGCTCTCTGATTGATGGGTTTATGAATAAGCATCCGTTGAGAGCCACGTTGTAAATCAGGATGAATATTCTGATTTCGCACAGGGAAGGGTTTGTCGAAAGCCTGCTAAAGATACCACAGTCAGGAAGATGTAATTTGGTATCGTAATAGCAACATTCCCTTCGCTTGTCATTCATTGACTCTTGGATAAAAATGCAATTTCATCTGTCTTGTTCTGAAAATGGAGATCTTAGCCTCTTTATACAGCTATTGTTTGCCAGGTATTGAAAACTATAATTGTTGCACAGCAGTTCTCGGCTACGGTGAGTCACTCAAATCAATCTTGTATGTTTCATAGCTTCACTCCCCCAGTAACTGAGCTGCAGCTTTTTTAGAGCTAGACAAATTATATTTCTCGAGAGCTCTACATTTCATACACACACGCTACTTTCATCCATGACCCCCGAGTTCACCACTTGGACTCCATTCAGAAGTGCCTTACATATTTAAAGGTGCAGTGTGTCATTTCTGCTCCACTAGTACCACCAAACAGAATCGCAAAAATAACCTGATTTCTCGAGTTCATCCTATTGTGGCGATAGGGGTTGCTGTACAGTTGCTGGGGTTCTCTGAAAGATGTTTAAAATGTCGCTGTGTGGTTGCTGTGGAGTTCTAAGTGGTTTTAACATGTCGATATGCGGTTTCTAGAGTGTTTTGAGAAAATGTTAGCATTTTGCTAGGGTGTTCTGCTTGTTTTTACGTGTTGCTATAAGGTTACTAGGTTGATCAGAATGTATTTGTTGCTTTGTGGTTGCTGTGGTATTTCTGACCATTAGGAAAATTAACCATGGTTTTATTATAGTAAAAGTGTAGTAACCCTGTAATTTTTTTTTTTGGCTGATCGATTACTATTTGTAACCTACAGAAGAGGATTAGGGCCAAGCAATAATAAAAAATAAAACCATCTCAAGTTTAAAGTCATTAAATTTCGAGAAGAAACTCATTCAATTTCGAGAAAAAAAGTCAAAATAAAATGTTGAGAATAAACTCGTTAAATTACGAGAAAAAAGTCATAACATTAAGAAAAAACTTGTTAAATTATGAGAAAAAAGTTTCGAGAAAAAAGTTTCGAGAAAAAAAGTGTTACATTTCAAGTACAAGCCGAATTAAAATGCAGAGAATATAAATACACTCATGTCAGGTTCATTTCATCTCGTGGGATGTTTTCAAACAGCGTCTGCAGTGGCGAAGGTTGGACAATAATGCACATGGTTGTAGCATATGATGTGGTCGACAAGGGTTCGAAACCGTCTTTTGCCGAACTCGCTTTTCTTCCTTTTCTCATCACATATCACATTGGAAAAGAGGAAATCAATTGCCTAACGAGTGTTTAATAATAATGTATGAATTGCGTAGGTTTAGTGTTACTACAGTAAATCAATTGTAAATATTAATTTGTGGATTGAAAAGTATTCTAACTGGATTGTTGTTGCACAGTGTTGTTTCTCCTGTTTTCCGCGTCAGTGTTGTTGAGAATGGCAGCACCGTTTCATCTGCCTTTAAACTAGTTTAAATCACCTCTGGAATCTGTACAAATTTAAATAGCCTTTTCTCGAAATTTAACAACTTTTTTCTGGTAATTGAATGACTTTAATCTCAAGATGGTTTTATTATTTTTATTATTGCTTGGCCCTAATCATCTTCCATACTAACCACAGTTTTACTATAAGTACCATAGTTAAACTATGGTTAGTGTAGCAAAGCCATAGTTAATTTGTGGTTTAACCACAATAATAATAACCATGTTTTTTTTACATGTTGCTATGCAGCGTTGTGTTTTTTTTAAAACATAATTGTAAGGTTGCTAGGATTTAGCATGTTGCTCTGTGATGGTTAGGGTGTTCTGCATGTTTTTTTATTTTTGCTATGCAGCTGCTGGTATGTTCTGGGTTGTTTTTAACACACTACTGTGGAGTTGCTAAGGTGCTCTGGGTGTTTTTTTTTACATGTTGCTAGCCAGTTGCTGAGGAGTTCTATGTTGTTTTAACATTTTGCCATACAGTTTCTAGAGTGTTCTGAGTGCTAGGATGTTCTTCAGTGGTTTTAGCATGTTGCTATGTGGTGGCTAGGGTGCTCTAAATGGTTTTTAAAATGTTGCAGTGTGGTTGCGGTCATTGTTGGTGTTCTTTAGCATGTTACCATGCTTGGGTGGTTTGCATGGTTTTTACCACGTTGCAGGAAATTTCTAAGTGGTTTTAACATGTTACAGCATGTGGTTAGTGTGTTCTTCAATGATTTTTAGCATCTTGCTGTGTGGTTGCTAAAGTGTTCTGGTTGGGTTTTTTAAAATGTTGCTGGGGAGTTTTAAGTTGTTTTAACATGTTGCTGTGTAGTTTCTACAGTATTCTGAGTGATTTTTAGCACATTTAGCTCATTAGGTCGTACTTCAGTTGTTTTAAGCATGTTGCTAGAGTATTCTGAGTGGTTTTGCAGTCGCTATGTTGTTCAAGTCAAAAGACCCCATTCGAAGGTCTATGATATTCTGGTCCTTAGATGTGGCTCTGGTCTCTCCTTCATTATAAGACTCTGCGATCTACAAACTCATGCCATTGGTCAAGAGTCGAGACAATATTTGTTTAAACGTGCTAGTGGTGCAGATATTACACCCAATATTTTCTCAAACATGCTAGTGGTGTAGAGCTGCTCAAATATGCTAGCGGTGCAGATATTACACCCTGTACCTTCAAGGAACTAGCTGGATAAGAGTTTACATGTGTTAAGCTGAAGTTGTTTCCTGAAGGTGTGAGACCTTGCCGTGTGCTTTCAGCATTCTCATATTCTGTTCTTTTTAGTTCTCAAGGTCTCAAGAGGTTTGTAGACTGTGAGATCAGTGGTGTTTCATCTCAGAGACTGATGGATAGTTGTTTGCCTCTCAGCTCATCTAACACTCCTTTATTTGTTTTTCTCCACAGACTCTGAATAAGAACAATTTGCTGCCGGATGAGAGGACCAACTACTTCCCTTCACCGCTTCAGCAGACGAACGTGTACACCACCACATACTACCCCACAGCTCTGGGCAAATATGACTACCGGCCAGACTCCTCGCCGTCTCCTTGCAGAACCTATAACCACAGCTGAGACACGTGTCCCATCCGTAGCTTTATCGCCATCTCCTAAACGCCTCCACTTTCGCCACCCACACACTCTGCACCCAATGAGGTGCTTATTCCAACATTCCAGCCAATTTTTCCCCTAAGATCTCTCCCCTGAGGACCGTGTCACCTAAGTCACGCCTTACGGTGTCCGACGGGGGAAAAGTCCAGTGATTCAAACAGCACTTTTTAAAGATTGTGTAGCTACACTGACTTTGATAAACTGATGTCTCGATTGATCGCTGCAGAACTCCCGTTACTGGAAAGAGGTTTTGCTGAAGCTCAAGGTGCGAAGACAAAATTGCTCTGGCATTCCGTACCACTCCAACAATATCCATTACAGGAAATGCAATCTGCCGCACTGTGGCAGTTCTTTTTGAAACTACAGAAGAAGAATAGGCGGACACCAGACAAAAGAGAGCAATCAATGGTGACATTATTAGGTTTGGTTAGAATGGCGGAATTGTTACCTTTGGATGCAAATGTAAGGACATCCCACTGACTTCCGACCTTTGACGGGCAAATCTCTGACAAAAGAGGATGGGTTGCAGGATCAATGCATCTCCTGGGTGAACTCTTCAGATACGAGTTCAGAAGCAAGCTGCAGAAAAAAGAACAGCTTAAAATAGGATTCTATTCAGAAAGTACTCTTATCAGAACTGAAATATAGATTTTTTTAGCACGTTAAAAGGCCAGAAGAATGCGTCATTATTTCCCTGAAAAGTCTTGCGAATGCATGGGAATCGAGGAATATTGCACCAACATGGAATATGCTTAGATCTGAAGCAAACATGTTCTACTCTCTTACTGTAAGTCCCGGTGGTCATATTAAATATGACTGGGTTCAAACTGAGATGGACTATATTTTATTATGAAAAAAAATGTAGGAAATACTGATAGCTTGGCACTTGTTTTATACAATGATTTTAAAGAGGGAATTATTCAGCAGTTGTAGGATAGATGGACAATAGAGTTTATTTAAGATAGGAGTTCAAACATTGATGGAGTTATACTGAACATTTCATATATTATTTTTTATTATTGTTTCCAGATGGTATATTCCTAACCACCATCACATTCATCAGAGATACGAGTGAAGGTGTACACCGTTATATGAGCATCATATATTCATGAAATTGCCTAGAGAGTCAACTTACACAGAAATGATCAATGGATCACTGTCTTCGTCACATCGAACAATATCTAAAAAATGAATCTTTGTGCAGCACTATGTGCTCAACTCAGATTTTATTTTGCCCATGTGTTGACATGCTTCCCAGCGGCATCACGCCCACATTCCAGAATCAACTCAACAGTTATCGATAAAAGCGATTCAGGAACGGCAACTCTCATCGGGATATAGTATTTATGGTATTTCTTGGTTTCTAAAGGGCATTGAAAACGAAACTAAGCTATTTTACCATGCTCGTTTAATGAATGCTAAGCCAGCCATGCTTTCAGCTAAGCATGAGTACATGGGTTGTAAATAAGTGATGTCCCACAGCGAAAAAAATTAATGCCACACAAAGGTTAGTATAATGTACATGTATATTGTAAAGCTAACACTGTTTTTTAAACGCCTTATAGTTGTAAAATAATATGTGCAGCAGCTGTGTAAATATACCAACCGTAGGGGGGATGGAGCCTGTCAGTGTCCAGAGATTGACTGCAAGAGAGAGACCATCTTGTGGACCGACCCTGATCGATAACTTCAACGAGTATTCATTAGAGTCCCTACAAAACTTTTAGAGTGTTTGTACTTTTATTCATCTGTTCATAATTCATATGAATTGATTTTTGCCATTCATGACAAGGTTCACAAAATTAACATGAATTACGTTGTTTCAATATCATACTCAAATACGGTCTTTAATTGTTTTGATGCTGTTGGATCCTGTTCAAAATATTTAATGGGGATTTTTTTTATCTTCAAGATGCTTGCATACTGAGCCTTTTCATTGAAAAAAATAAATCTACCGAGGAGTCCAAAAATCTGAGAGCATTACTGAAAATGTTCCTATTTTTATTGCAAATTATATTAAAGATATGCTCACATACAAAGCCCTTTTCACTGAAAAAAATCTAAAGTCCAGAAAATGGTATTATCTTTTTTTAATTGCATATTATATTATCATCATATTTTTGCGTGAAAAGTTTAACTGAATTTTTTTTTTTTAAATCAGAAAACATTTCCAATTTGATCTAAATCACAGATTTGAAATGTTTTTCAAAGGCTTTTGGTCTCCACTGTACGCATGAAAGAAAATCCAAGAATAGGCAAAATTCTAAGGTCATATTAAAAGTTAAAGGTCAAACTAAAATCCCCACATTTGTTCCCGTTTGCCTGCCCAGATAATATATGTTGGTCAAGTGCGGCTGCTCCGTGTAAGTCGGGTTTTGAAAGGAGTATCTCTGCTATTGAACACACATAAAGCCGGATGACGCAGTGAGGCGCTCCATCCCTGCAAGGCTTGGTGCCCTTCTATGCAACTGACCTGGTGGTTAGATATGCGATGTAGACTGTAATCACTGCCTTTTAGACACTGTGAATTTTTGGTACTCTATATTTTTGTATATTGTACATTGTAAAAGATAATAAACCTTGATGCCAACCCGGTCTAACTTGAGCGGTTTCGTCCTTTCCCAACTACATCAATCTAGGTCACCCCGCTGTCTCCCGCAGAGTGAAAGGTAAGCGTTTTCAAATTGTCATGTTTTTCAATCCAATGTCAGGTTGGCTATCATACACTCCCATTTGTGTGTGGAGGGAAATTGGACCTAAATGCTGACAACACACACACACCGTTTTCCCTTCACACAATCCCTCCTCAGAGAGAAAAATGGATGTTAGACTTTGACATGATACACTGTTTGCCCTTTTCACTCAAGACCTGATGGCATAAATATTGAAGTTGGCATCGCTATACAAGATTTACCCAGTGAGCGTGGGGCGTTTATTCACTGCAAGTCTCTCTCATTTTTAAAGACAGTCTAGAGTTTTAAAAGAGTGACTCAATAGGAACTTTTTTTTTTTTAATGGGTGTTTAGATGATCAATAATTCTAGTTTGCTGTTGCTCCATTCAGTCAAAGGAATGGTTCACCCAAAAACGAAAATTCTGTCATTATCTATTCACCCTCATGTCGTTTCAAACCAGTCTGACTTACTTTCTTCTCGGGAACACAAAAAGTATTTTAATTACACTATAGGCTGCTCTTGTCCATGCAGTTACAATGAATGGGAACCCAAGCTTTCAAGTATTGCACAAATTCATAAGAAAAGTGTCTTAAACGTAGTACATTCAACTTATGTGCTATATTCACAGTCTTTCTGCAAGAAAGAATACACTTTAAACTGTAATTCAGTGAAAATATTCAGCTCCAGTGCCACGGTGTCAAAATCATTGAGTTGAATGCAATCAGATCAATCCAGTTTGTGAATGAATCATTTTCAAGTTTTGAAAACTGGATCAAACTATTTATTGAAAAGATCTGACTTTGTCAATACAGAGCTATTATGCAGCTCCAGAAGTAGTATGAACCATTTTTATGATGCTTTTGCATCCTTTTTGAAGTTTGAAAGCTCCAGTCCCCATTTGGTCGAGTGACCAAAGTCAATTTCTAAGAACTATCCATTAAAAAGTTTTGCATTCGTGTTTGGAATGACATTAGGGTGAGTAAATGACAGCATTCATTTTTGGGTGAACTATGGGTGTTCTGAGATGTTTTTCCAAGCTCAGAGTGAATGATGTCATCTTCCTGTCGTAAACAATACATAAACCTATTCCTCCGCATAAAAGCCAAACTTATCTCAATCTACCCCTCTGAGTCCAATAGGGCAACGCTTGGAGACGGCGGGTGAAGGCCAAACCCAGCTGTGCTTCAGCAGGAGGGCCTGGTCTGCACAGCTCTGCAATCATTTCAAAGTGGGTTTTATTGACGAGCACAAGGCTCCATCCATCACCCGCTATCTGCTGACAGACTGGCACTGACAGATGACCACCGCTGTCCTCCCCTGAGTGGCCAGCTGGCGTTATGCCAGGAGTGCACCGTATGCTGAAGGTAGGGGCCAAATCTGCGGCCCATCAGGGAAGAGCGGTGGCAAGGAGTGAGACAGATGCTTTTGTGGCTGGTTCTGCAAACCTCGTGGAATCAATTTGTGCTGCTGTCAGCACAGAGTCTGGGACTGCAGAGTAATGCATCTTCACCAGGCTAGACTGTAACTTCCTTAACACACCTGGTATGAAGGGTAATCTTCTCCTAGTCTCATATGGAGTCTGAAAGGTGACGAAAAAGGCAATTAAAAATCCATTGTCATTGTCTTGGAAACGTAAACTTTGGATTCATGTTTGTTTCATACGTTACCTGGGAAGAAAAAAAAAAAGTCAAACATTTTAAAACAAGTAAATGTTAAGTAAACCGTGATGGTCTACTGGGTATTCTCCGTGATCATTTCCTTTTTTTTTTTTTTAAACATTTAAAAAATATATTAAGTTTAAAACAACTATATAATAAGGTTATATAAAATTGCATATAAATAGTATATCCTACACACTAAAAAATGCTGGGTTAAAAAGGAACAAACCCAGCTATTGGGTTTGTCCCTTTTTAACCCAGCGCTGGGTTATATTTAACCCAGCATTTTTTAGAGTGTAAGAGTTAATGCATTAACAACGAACAATACATTTGTTACAGTATTAATATGTCAAAGCTGATGAATGTAAAAATACAGTTCAATTTAATTCACATTTATTTGCATTGTGCTTTTCACAATCGTTTCAAATATCTATACAGATAATGATCATGTTCATGTTAGTTCATATTTATTGGACTAGAAAAAGTTTGAGTTTATCAATCAGGTGAAATCAATAATCAGATTAGGCTACTGTTAGTAATTAACAAAGGTCCCTTTTTAGTTTCTCTTTGCCACCTTGAATATTTCTCAGTCCCTCAAAGGGTATAATGGTCGGGAAGCAAGAAAACACACATCAAATGGTATTCTCAATACTTCAACTTTATTCATAGATACAAGGATATTATATAGGCATATGTCGAGGGGAGTTTCAACCCTTTAACCAATGAGGATATAGATGACATACATATAGGATTTTGGCCAAGAATATGTGTTATATAAAATGGCCACATTTACAGGAAAATATGGACATATTAGGAATAAACTTGGCGAAGGATGCTGAACTATATCCATAGTTCAGCACAAACCCCATTACCTTGGAGTCCTAGCTATCGTGTCCTCGTTTGAACATTTGAACTAAGAAAAGCTAATGCATACATGTGTGCATGCGTACCTCGAATAGGAGTAAGAGATATTAAAACATAATACAAGAGAGAGAGAGAGAGAGAGATCAGATGGAGGAGGGGGGAAATCAGAAAGAAGACAACATTGCTCTGTACAGGGAGGGCGAGCAGAGAGGGAGAAGGAAGAAAAGGAGGGTGAAAACATCTGGAACCAATACAGACAGAGAGTGTTTTCTAACAGCTACTTAATCCAGAAATTGGTTTGCATGTAGACTCAATGCATCTATGTCCTGACGTCACTGTCACTATATAACCAATGATCTCTATGAGGAACACATTGGGGCACATCAGATAAACATCATTCTTTCATGATGTTTGTGAACAAAGCTGAAATTGTTTTGGTGTTTGGGCTCCACAGGGAGACTGTTTGCATGCTTACAAGATGAACAAACCAGACAGTCTGAGTGGGTCTCAGAACCATAAACAGCTCCTTTACGCACAGAATATTGCCTCTGAGGAAAAGAGTGGCTCTGCGCTGTGAAATAACAGATGCTTTGAAATGATGGATATCATCTGCAACCAGATGTTATTGATCGGATCTCTTCCGTACACAAAGGAACCTACACTAGAATGATTTCATAAAACCTGTCATATTTCACACTGATATCAAAAGAATAAAAGAAAAATGATTTTACTTTATTTTTTTAAATGTAGGACCATATTTTAGGATTTTACTTTATTTGTAATACAATATATAGCATGAATTTATATTTTATTAAAAAAAAAAGTTAAATAAAAGATTTAGGAATCTTTAAGATTACTTACAACAGAACAGTAATGCATTTTATGGATGACCGTTTCATGAACCTAGGAGAGGAGGTAATTCTGACTTTGCTATGACAATCTGGCGCTTCTGAATCAGCTACTGTTTTGTTATTAGTTTAAGTATTTGCTATTGACTGTTCAAATGCGGAGTTTTGCGCATTGTGTGTGTGTGGGTGTGCGCGCGTGTGAGAGAAAGGGAGACAGCGTCACATCACAGTAGAATCAGCTGTCTTAACCACGGCTTGTGTACTGCATCATTACTGTGTCTGTTCCCCTTTCGGGCTTGAACTGATGGTAAAACTAATGACATTACTTACTGTCTTTACATTTATTTTGAAAGATGAAGCTCGTGATTATGGTAAGGGGCGTTACATTTCTGACGAGTGTTTGCGGTGTTCTGCCAATCACAATGCACTGGGTCAGTTGGCCAATCAGAGCAGACTGTGCTTGTCGGAAGGAGGGACTTTGTAGAAAACTAAGCGTTTGAGAGAGGCGGGGCATAGAGGATGTAAAATAATGTACAGTATTTGAAAAATTATGCGTTTTTTGAACATTAAAGCATGTCAACATATTCTGTTACACCAAATAATGATCTTTAAAAAAAGCATCATATGACCCCTTTAATATGCATTTCTTTACCTTACTTGATCAACGACTCCCAAACGATTCATTTTTCCAAGCCCCTCCTTTGCGTGACGCTAATCTGCGGTGATTGGTCTCATTTTCATTTCATCATGCCTGTGATGCCTGATAAAGCAGCGTTTGTGAGCGCAGTGCTGCTTTACAGCGTTACCGTGGAAACTGCTATTTTTACCGCTCCTAAAGCGGCACCTAGTGACCCCCCAAATAGTGAGCAAAGATGAGTCATGCATAACAAAGAAAATGTGCTAAACTCTCTTCCAAAGTCAAACACAAGGATCACATCCAGTGTTCACAGCTTTCTGCTCTCAAAGTCATTTATGACCGAGCAGTGTTTACCTTTTTTTTTTTTTTTTGGATGTGACATTAAAGAATGGGTGGGTGGCCATAATTGGTCAGTGATAAAGGGTCCTTTTGCCTCAAGAGTATTCACATTAATGAAAGCAGGACCAGGCCATATGATGTTAAATTACCTCACTAAGCTAATACGGTTTGGAGCTAAATGGAGCTTCTAATATATTTTCTGCACAGAGAAAATGAATAGAACAACAACAACAACAACAAAAAATCCTTCATTTGACCATCCTCAGGTTAGTGGGGCATTTATTTAACAAAACTTATCTGTTTTATTCAATCTACTCCCTGATTTCATAAAAGCTAAAACATGTCGAACCAAACAAAGGAAAACTACATTTTCCTTGACTAGGATATATCTCTGGCACAAATTTTGCGAGAAAAAAAAAAAAGTTAACAAAGTTCCTTCTAACATCTCTGTACAGAAAAGTCTAACAATGCCACTTTAAAGCAAAACTTAATTCAGTCCTTTGTTAATAATATTGTTTGAGAAAGTTATTTTTACACATACTAACACTGCAGTGCAAAAGAGGAACAAGTGACGGAACTGAATTTTTTATAGCGCTACAACTTTCCATCAAGAAACATACTGCAAGCTTTTCTTTTTGCCCCATGAAACAGAAATTGCTCAGAACCTTTTGTAAGACTCGGAACGCTCAACTCAGCAACTCAGAAACTTTAAAACAAAGGGGAAAAGAAGAACAAGTTTTAAAGAGATTACAATGCCAGCCACTTTTTAAAGTATCCTCACTAAATGAAGCAATGTCTTTGTCCAAGTACCTTCAGAAAAATGTGCCATCACTTATAGGATGCTGTGCTATAATTTAGTCATGCCTGAAGGGGTTGCACATAAATCTCTAACCATGTCATTTAAACAGTAAATTAAAGTAACAATATAGAACATTATGTACAATAAAAAATAAACCGTTTTTAATTTCTCTATTACATCCATGACACTAAAACCACCCATTCTTTCTCACTTTCTGTTAAAGCAGTGTGGTGATCTGGTCTAGTAACTGAAAGCTTGCAATTCATGTACAGTAAGTCATTTTGAATAATGAGCTACATGATTAATTATTAATTAGCAGCTCAGAGGTGCTTCGACTTGACAGGTGAGCACCTGCAGCAGCTGTTGTGACAGCACCGCTATGCAATTCAGCCCCAACATGCTGCAAGGACAGGTTAATGGAGCTACTGGCCTCTGACATTGGCCATTTTCATTCAGCACTCTTATGATTGAACAGATCAAAGGCATAACTCATGACCTGTCTGGCTCCATCGAGCCCATGTTAACAGCACAAGTCGCCTTTCTGCTAGCTGCTCTCTCACGTTTATGAGGGAACAAAACAATAATCCAGATGTCCATTAGTCACCCTTTACATATACAGACATAGAAGATTAGTTTGTACATTTCATCAGCATGTGCTTAATGGGAATTGAACCTCTTTGCTTTGTGCTACCAGTTGAACTGGAACATCATATACAGGGGTTGAACAAAATAATGCGAACATGGGGCTCATATAATTGGTGTAGGCTACAGTGAAAAAAACTGCTGCGATTATCTTATTGATCTTTTCATGGTCTATATTTGCTGGTTTGTATTTTAGTGCAGTATAAATGTTTAGTACAAGTGGTTTATGAAATGGGTGACTTGTCAGACGTCCAAAAAAAGACAAATAATGGAAGCCCATTTAGCAGAAGCGTCTGTAATCTTAACGGCCCAACTGTTTGGTCTTATAAGAACAACAGTCTTTACGATTATGACTGTGTACACAAAGCATGGCAAGACTTCATCAGAGAAGAAGAAGAATAGTGGGCAAAAAACTGAAAGGGATTGAAAGGAAGCATCAAACACTGAAGGATTTGGTCAGAACAACCGCAGTAAAGGTGACAGTAAACCTCAATATTCACCTTGAAGACCCTGTTTCTTCTATGGAAAGACCCGCACCCTTCGTTACTGTTGCTTCGTCCGACAACCCCTGCCGCTCTCACGCCACACATCATGTTCTCACGCAGTGAAATATACATCATGAAGCAAAGAGGAAACTAACAACGCTCCAACAGACAATACAGCAGGTTACTTCTGGCATGAAACAAATTTTGTAATTTTGAAAGAAATTCAAACAGTAAATACCGTTTTGTTGTTCTTTAACATGTTGTGACAGATCACTGTAGCGCCTTGAAAGACCACAAAATAAACATGAATGAACATCAGAAGGTATCTGGTTTCAAACGTGGAAAGATGTCGCCACTTTTCACCACCACTACCCACCATTTTTCAAGTTCAAGTCCATCGACGTTAATCTATTCTTCTGTCTGGTTTGTCAGACAAAATGACAGATTCGGCATTGTGATTGTTCAGATCATCTATCAATCAAACTCCCTGCAAAGGGTCAATTGCTGAAACTTTAATCACAGAAATGCAAGAAAGATGGAGTTATGATCATAATACCTGGAGAGTTGGAGCATCAAGATGAACTTCAACATCTGCCATGGCCAGACAAATCTGACTTGAATCTCTGATAGCACACGTACATCGTGAAGACATCTATTTGACATACTTTTTAGAGTAGGGCTGTCCAAACTCGGTCCTGGAGGGCCGGTGTCCTGCAGAGTTTAGCTCCAACTTGCCTCAACAAGTTTCTATGCCTAGTAAGAGCTTGATTAGCTGGTTCAGGTGTGTTTAATTAGGGTTGGCGCTAAACTCTGCAGGACACCAGCCCTCCAGGACCGAGTTTGGACAGCCCTGTTTTAGAGCATTGGTCTCAAACTCAATTCCTGGAGGGCTACAGCGCTGCACAGTTTAGCTCCAACCTTAATCAAGCACACCTGATCCAGCTAATCAAGCTCTTCAGGATCACTAGGAACTTCCAAGCAGGTCACAGAAATGCAAGAAAGATGGAGTTATGATCATAATACCTGGAGAGTTGGAGCATCAAGATGAACTTCAACATCTGCCATGGCCAGACAAATCTGACTTGAATCTCTGATAGCACACGTACATCGTGAAGACATCTATTTGACATACTTTTTAGAGTAGGGCTGTCCAAACTCGGTCCTGGAGGGCCGGTGTCCTGCAGAGTTTAGCTCCAACTTGCCTCAACAAGTTTCTATGCCTAGTAAGAGCTTGATTAGCTGGTTCAGGTGTGTTTAATTAGGGTTGGCGCTAAACTCTGCAGGACACCAGCCCTCCAGGACCGAGATTGGACAGCCCTGTTTTAGAGCATTGGTCTCAAACTCAATTCCTGGAGGGCTACAGCGCTGCACAGTTTAGCTCCAACCTTAATCAAGCTCTTCAGGATCACTAGGAACTTCCAAGCAGGTGTGATTTGGAGCTGGTTGGAGCTAAACTCTGCAGAGCTGTGGCCCTCCAGGAATTGAGTTTGAGACCACTGTTTTAGAGTGTTTACTTATCTGCAATACGTCTACAGGACTTTTCATATCAGATGTTTATTAGATGTCTTTAAGATGTTTAAGATTTAGAAAGTATGTAAAACTGACATCTTACAGACTTCTGTCAGATGTTTGTACACAGCATATGCTTTCCAGATCAAGCGATCTTTAACAGACATCTTGCAGACGTCCGTGTGCTATCTGGGATATTATCAAACCACTGTGGCCAGTTTTGGAAAGAAGAGTGAGAAACCCTCCTCCAACATCTCTGAAGCAAATGGCAGATGTTCTGATAGATGACATTTTACTGGAGACTTTTCACAAGTTGTATGTATCTATTCTAAGAAGGTAGGAAGCTGTATTAAATCCAAATGGTGGTGAAATACCTTAATAAATAATATTGGTGTTCACATTATTTTGCCCAACCCCTGTGTGACAGTCTTAAAAGAATACATATTTAGTTTGGTTTATGCCATTGTAGCCAGCTTATTTCATTAGCAGAGCATGGCTGTTGGAGCAGAGGTGTTGTGGGATTAAAATGAGATGAGTGCCTGATCAAAGTGTCCGTCGCTCTCCTGACCGCTGCGTTTCCGCTTGCCTGGATCTCTTAATTGCTTGAAGTCTCGAGACATGCTGCTTTGGTTTAGCCACGTCACTGCACATTAGAGCCGCACAACTGAATCCAAACATGCCGTCTGCTCATTCCATCTTCCGTCTGTTCTTGGAATGAAAGTGGCTCACCTTGATGAGAGTCAGCCAAGTAGAGTCCCCATCCAAACATGCTCCCTGATTATCATCAAGCTCCATTATGTTTTGTTGGATTTTGTTATTGATTTGCTCAAAGTGTGGGTTCCATGCTTACCTTCTTATTCAGCAGGCTATCACAGTCAGGGCTGGAGCTAGATGCCTGCTAATGCCTCTGTGACCATGTTGCGCACATCCCTGCCAGCCATCTGGTGCTTACTGCAATCATGTATCCTTAAAGAAACTGAAATGCACAGAGAAATCTCTACATCTTATCAAAAATAGGCACTTGTAAACTTGCATAAGAGAATTACATTTTTGGTTAAGAGCACTGTAAAAAAAAAAAAACAAAGGCCAAGATATTTATTTGATAAGTAAATTTACTCAGCATGTACATGAGTCTTACCTTTATTATACATTTTTAAATCAATTATGGACAAACGACGCAAGAACATTACAGTCATATTAAAACCAATGTCCCCTCAGGTTATTTTCACAACAAACAAAAACTAAAACCACTAAAATAATTTTTGTGAATTAAAATAAAGCAAGAAAAAAATAGTTGATGAAAAACAAATATTTTATATTTTAAGTTATAAAAAATGTTCAAACTAACTAAACAAATGAAATGTGACTTAAATTACTAAATTACAATTATTAAAAACAAAAATGAACACAGAAAATATAAAAAAATAAAAGCCAAAATTCAAAATATTAATTAATACTTTTATAGTATATAAAAATACTTGGCTTAATACTGAAAAAAAATACTGCTTAAGGTGGCACCGGTTGCATTTCTTATGAAACAGTAATGCCATTACTGTGAACAATTTAGGCACACACAAATGGGTCCGCAGTAGGGGATATTGTATTGTGTATATAAAATATAATAATTATAATATATTAAATATATGAAAACGTTTTTTTATTTCACTTTTTCGTATTGGCATGTTGTTAACAAAATTATATTAGATTTAATAAGCTAGCAAGCTAACAGGCTAGTGGTATGCTAAGATAGTATGCTGAGCATTAAAGCGACCTTGAGCTACGGAAAGATGCTATATAAATAAAATTTCTTCTAAAGCATGAGACATATTGAGATATAATATTGAGAAATATGAGCAAAAGGAACCAGTTGGTCATAGCAGCTGATTTGGTTTTTATACAGCGTTGTCATACACAAATAGCATGAATATTTTTTCAGAAGGAAAAAAATATTAGTAGGCACCACTTGTCTTTTGAATTTGTGTAACTTCATTATTTTATGCTAAACGTAAGACGTTTCTGTAAGGGGTGTGTAAACTTAAGGGCACACAACTGTAACTGGTGAAACCCTCCTATATTTTTGTTTTCTAAGTATGTGTATTTTTTATAAGACAGGTTCTGTTCATCTGTCGCAGAAGTCGTACACTGGGAAACATCGTGCCGGAAACATGAAAGGGCATGCAGAGCATGTGAGGACTGAAAGCTGCAACAGAAAACAAATCAATGGCTGTAAAAGTGTCACCTAGATTGACAGTGAGCTCTGTTTACTACAGAGCGTGCGTCATGTGCTCAAGAACAGGAACCATGGACAGGGAACAAAGCCAAAATGGATTTTATGAAATTGCTTGTCACTGAATGAAAACACCTGTTTAAGACAATCTTCTCCCAGGACGCCTGTTGCTGCTGTTGTCAACACTGAAAAGTAACACTTGAATCCGAGGCTTTTTTATGTGCTGAAAAGTTGACGCGACAAGTTTAAATGCTCCTTTTTGTTATTCAGCTATGGTGGGATGAAGAAAGGGATGTTCTTTCAATGCTCTGACAGTACTGTGAAACTAAAAAAAAGGACTTAAGATACTTCAATACTTCATTCTTTGAAAGGGGAAAAAGTGAAAAAAACTTAAAAAAAAAAAAAAAAAAAAAACAGATTGATTTTTAATGCAAAAGGATGAATGCAAAGTAATTCTATTTAACATTCACATAACTGCAAATTGTTAGTTTCAATAAAAACCTAATAATAAGGACACGAATGGCAGAAGAAAGAATATATACACAAACTTCACTACTAAGGGAAGTGTGATATTCAGTAAATGTATTATATGAATTACACGTATATTACCCTATATTATATTATTCACAACAGTTTGAATGGAAAATAGACCAAGAATGAAATGAAAAAGATATTTTAATATATACAATATTGAATATCTCTCCTTTATATTATTATATTTGTCGTTTTTTTGTTTTGTTTTTGTAATATATTTAAAATATTATCATTGCTAAGCCTAAAAAGAACTGGTATGGAACTATTCAAAGTAAACATGAATAAATAACTTCTCAAACTAAAAGTGACATGAACAGCATACAATTCAATTCTCACAATCACTGTCATTGACAACACAAACATAGGCAAAATTCACAGAGAAAAGAGGAAATCTATGAGAACGGGAATCTATAGGCTTGCATGTAAACCGCAGGTTTTTTGGCTGGTGTACCACACAATATGTTAACAACTCCCGAGTACACATACTGGCTGTGGACACCCACTCTCAATCCTGATGTCATCTATGATCTCATGCTTTGAAGGGTGTGGGGCATCATGGGAGTGTGTGCAAACTCCAAAAACATGAGCTCATCTTATAGACACCCATGACAACACATTTACTGGAAACGTTGTTTGCTCGAAGGTCAGGCACATGTTTTCTAAAGGCTTTCAATCAATCAATGTAACATTTTAAGATGGCTTTGTACATGGCTTATCCAATCATATTTCCGAGTCAGAACTATCTGCTATTTTCATGGTTTCTCATTACACACTTCAAGCTGGATTAAAATTTGAATGACAGAGAGGAGAATAAAACACGAATCCTTTTTAAAAACATCTTTTTAATAAGGTGCTAAAAACCTTTGACATGTATCTGCACATGGACAGGGGCACGTACGCCTCTCCAGTGCCACTTACGATTAACATTACAGTGACAGAACAGAGCACAAGCACCGACTGCAGCACGGCACGCACATCACAGTGGAGAGAAGGACAGAACAAAGGTCACTGTTAATTAAGGCAACGTTAACGACAGGTAAAATAGTACGAAGACACAAAAAAAGTGGTTCACATGCAGGCTTTTCCCAGAGAAGAACAGAACCACGCGTGTGTCCAAAGTTCTCAGTTGGAAATTTGTGGAAACGTGGGATTCGGGGTGTCCATAAAATGCTTTTCCTTCCCCGTCAACCAGTTCCACTGAAGTCAACACTAAATCCAACAGCAAGTCTCAAGCCGACCAAATTTCACCAGTCCAGATTCAAATTGGCTCCATTTTCATAGTGTTGCTAAAAAATGCAGGAGAGAATGGCCTAGTGTGTGCATGGGTCATACGACAGGCTGTATTTTAAACTCGAGAGGGAGTATTGCACTCGTTTTTGCATTAGGTTATGCCACAAATCACGAGAGGCTACCGAACATGGCTACTATTA